ACGCGACTATACACAAAATTGCGTCAACATGCAACGGAAAATTATTTCATTTTGCGTCCAGATGCACTTCTATAGTAATACGCATTTGAACGCGATAAAATTGACTTTAAACCGCGTCTAGGTGCGACTTTGAAAGTCATATGCGCCTGAACGCGTTTATCCTGCGTCTGGTGTTTACATGGGAGTTGACGATAATTTTACTCACCACATCTCAGATTCTGTGAAGAATCGGGCGATGAAATGTCTAAAGGATGTGGTAGAGCAAACTAGTTTTGATGGAGTAAATAATGAAAGTTGATTACTTTATCCCTAAGAATAAGCAATAGGTCAATTGTATATCGCCGACTCAGAAAATAACCGAATTCTATGATGGTATTAAGGAGACAAATAAGATGAAGTTCTTATTGATGAGAATGGTAAAGGAAGATGGGTGGGATATTTAAGTGAACCACATGATATACGATTCTATAGGCACGGAAATCTTCATTGTTGCTGATACTGAGAATAATCGAGTGCAAAAATTCGAAGTTGATTGGGAATGAAATGGTTAATATCGATTACAATAACTCGAGAAGTGTGATAATATTAGGTTTTCGATATCTTTGTTGATATTGTTATCGTTGTTATAGTAATAAATAACATCGTACAAGTAAAAATATAAGAATACAAATTTTTCGAAAGACGCAAATCGTCTATTCACATGGAACGTAACAAATGTCTATAAGATTGTTAACGGTGGATGCAGTGCCATTGATTTATAGCATGTACAAATTCCATATGATCTCTGTTCATAAAAGTAGTTAGTTTATTTGGAGCTGATATCAATCTTTTCTAAGACAACGTGTTGGAATGTTCCTGCATGTGAATCATTCATTCTCGGGCTCAGTGACGTATTTACTTCGTCTTACCAAAACTCGCATCGTTCTGATACACGACCCACATTTGTCTACTGGAGGAAAGAAAATTATCGACAACGATCGTACGTCAGCGCATATAGAACAACATCCATTGGAAAATACCAAACAACGTCGCTGCATATAAATACGCGTGATATATTGCTAATAACATACTTTACTGTTAATTTTCATCATCAGAAGATCAGAAATAATCACGACTGAAATGGCACAGACTGTTTATGATTGGGATGCTTCAAGTTTGGAAGCAGCAAATCGAGATATAATCCAAGTCATGGGTCAACATCTTGACAACTTCGCTGACGGCATAATTACAAATGCAGCACAACGAGCCATTATAGAAGAATTAGAATCATGCGAAGCGTTCGTTAATTTTCACAAACATATCAACGAAGGAGTCGTACAAGTTGACGCCGAATTTGAAGGAATAATTAACAAGCGAACATCAGTATTTCCTCTTGGACATGAATGGAAAGTTCGCTTTACTATCGATGCTGACATACCTCCTGAAGGCAGTCAACAAAAGAAGCATATTGGTTTTGAAATACATATTAAAACAAAACCCAAACAAGCAGGTCATGCTTGGTGTGATGCTGTCCCGAAAGGAAGACCATGCTTAGGTACCAGCATGGATCAAGAAACAACTCAGCGAAGAACCAAGACGTTTCCAAATTCCGATGAAATGACGTATTGGTATACTACATATAAACTACGAAAAAATCAATGAGATATCAAATTTCGTATACATCAACTTACTATTATGAACCCTCTCTCTCTCTCTCTTTGCTGTAGTTTATACAATAAAATCCGAAAATGAAAATGACTATGGATATTCGTACATAATGGGTTCGACTGCTGAACAGTTGGTCATATCAAGAACGAATTCTTCGCTAGAAGATGTGAATCAATTACTCAATTCTTGCACAGGAACTCAGCAACTTAGTGTCGCTTTCTCTTTTTCTCCCACTAAAGAAATTCGACATATAAAACGTGTTTGACATTAATCCAAAGTAGTACGCAAATATACCAAACGAATCTAAATAAGAAATAAAGGATTAATCGATTGTTGAAACAAATGACTGAATGTAAAATCGTTGTTCTATACGTCATCTTCTATTGCACGGTGAAATATAGTGATGCTGTGTTTCCCCGATCACCATCTCTCGGTTGTGAACATTATCTTAATGACTATGAAATTCTCAGGCAGCTTCCGTTTCCCGTTTTAATCAATCCAGAAAGAATTTATGCGAATGAAAGCATAGCTACGATGCATCCGGCAGAACGTGTTGTCAATTCACTGACGCTCGTCGAACCAAATGGTGTTGTTCCTGAGAGTATCTTCTGTTTGAAGGAACTTCAATATTTAATCATCAAACATATGGTCTTTACTGACGGTGACAAGCTTTTTCGTTAGTCTCTATCAGTATCAAATGTACGTTTTTCTTAGACATACTTCCGGACAGTCTGGCAAATCTGCAAATTTTACGACGCCTTGAAATTATCAACACGACGATTACTAAAATGACGAATCAATTAACGTCTTTAAAGCATCTCTATTGGTTGACCTTGGTCAATTGTTCACTTCCACAACTACCGAATCTAACTAATTTGTCGAAAGTATGGCATATTGAACTTGATCACAATCATCTATCGAAACTTGATGGATTAGACGGGGACATTCTCAGATTGTCACTCTCGAACAATCTCTTCTCTGAAATACCGACTGTGAAAATGCCCGCATACGTCGAAGAACTTACCATGAATAATAATCCTTTACGAAATATCATCAAACTTGATTCATTTATCAACTTAGAGCGAGTTGATCTTCACAATACAACTATCACCTCCATTCCACCGACGATTAACAAACTGCAAAAACTTGAGCATCTCGATTTATCTTACAACGACTTGTTTTATCTACCATTCAATATTCTCGAATTAAACAAACTCAACACACTCTTCGTTAATAACAATTCATTCTCCGATCAAGAAATCGAAACAATCAAAACGTATTTTAATATGAGTCATCCAAATATCACTCTGCGTATTTAATAAGTATGTCATTTAACAACATAAATATCAACCAAACTGCCGACATTCATGTTCTATTAATCCTAAATTCATTTTTTGTACGACGTTCGAAAAGAGAAAAATAAATGGCTGTCTACAGGATTCTTTTTCTGATATCATGTACCTTGGTTACGTATACAACTACCAACGAATCACTCAAAATCGATTGTTCACACTATACAAGTGACTATGAAGTGTTATTGGATTTTCCATTTCATATCAAGATCAACCCAATGTTGAATTATCCGGCTAGCAACACGGTGACTATGGACAGAGCGAATACTTTTGTTTCTTCACTTTCACTACTCGATGGAAACACTCCTATTCCTGAAAGTCTCTTTTGCTTGAAAAAATTGACCGGACTGACGATTGTAAACGGTGCTTTCCCATATGGTAAGATGAAAACATGTTGTTTGGAGTTCAACTGAGCTTTCCTATTAGGCATTGTACCCGATAGTTTGGCAAACTTACAACAATTGAACACCATTGAAATTTTGAACTCATCCATTATGAATTTAACTAATCAATTTTCGTCTCTCATTCATCTCTACTCATTAACCTTCACGAATTGTTCACTCTCCGAGATTCCCAGTCTGAGTAACATGCCATACCTGCGACATATTTACCTTGACAACAACCGTTTGTCAAAAATCGAAGGATTTCGAACCGATGTGGATTGCTTACATGTTGCTGATAATCTCTTCACCGAAATACCATTTTTCAAAACTCCGACTAGTCTGGCAATTCTTCGGATGAACAATAATCCGTTGAAAGATATAAGTTCAATCGATTCTTTCACTTATCTCGCTATTCTGGAACTGCGAAATACAACGCTGATATCGATTCCGAGCACGATTGACAAACTGCAAAGACTCTATCATCTGGATTTGTCTCATAACAAACTCGTTCATTTGCCACGAAGTATTTTCAAATTAAAATACCTTGCGGAACTTTATCTTAATAACAATATGTTCTCCTCGGAAGAAATTCAAACACTACGAATGGAATTTAGCAAAACTCATCCGAATATCACTTTGCGTATCTAGTTTCTTTGAAACTATCAAATAAAAAGAAGTTCACGGAACTTAATGTACTGTAGTTGCGACCATTTATTAATCTACTAGACTCATCATAATAATGTATAGAATTTGAAACAAGCTCGCCTTGTTCGCTAGTCAAATCTGATTGATTTCCGGCAAATCGATTCAAAGTAGCTAATTAAAGTTATAGATAGCGAAAAGTTGACGATTCGTCGAACCTTGTCGGACATTCTCAACACGACGACAGTTGATTTTGCTGTCATCGACTTTTTTTCTTTGACTCGACATCTGACAGCTATCATTCCATTTGTAAAACATTTCATTAATCGGCAAAAACCACAGATATGTCGATTATTCACATAACAACTGCCATCCTAACGATATTGAGGTGCATCCAATAGAATCAAACCTGTCGAATGAAGAGGCGAACAACGGTCTTGTGAATTGACCTGTTTCTTGGCGTTTCTTCTGAAAAACATTTTGCGCGATTTACATGTGATACATCCATAAAAACAACAAGTAGCATTTTATTCTCTTGTCTATAGAATGCAAAAAAGCTTTTCAAAATGAACCATTTTGGACTTTAAAAAAAGAATCGAACTATTATTCCTTTCGTAAGCTCTGGTTTTATTGCGAACTTAAACTTTCTTTTATGTTTTAGTAGCAAATTTTCTAAAGAAGATAGAAGAGAAAAGAAATAACACAATATCATTTTTTCCTCTCTTTCATGTGACTGTGCGCAGACAGTACCTCGCTCTATAGGAAATAAATCGACCCATTAAACTTGTCTTATTCTGTGAAAGAGCACGTGTTTTTCTTTCGACCATAATAGTTCTTCTGGTGAATCAGCGTCCTATCAACGAGGAATCTATAGAAATTTAACTTTTTTTTCGATATTTTAAATTCGCACATTCAGGTTCGAATGAAACTTTAGAAACTTCAATAGCTGACGATTACGATCATGGTGTATATTGAGTTAAACAACTGAGAAAAAGAATAGAAATACATGGTATACAACATCTAGTCTTTAACAGTAAGAACGTCTTTTGTTTGTTGAGTTAAAGAATCAATTGTATTTGTGTACCATTTAACTTCCTCAGATTTTCTTACACCATCGTGTATAACAAATAAAAATCGTAACAGATCGGAAAAATACTTCACTGTCCATTCAAATTTGTATGTGTAGACTAAGTATCGCCATGCTAAGTCAACGTATTCGTCTTGAATTTTTAGGATCCGGCCGATGTTCGATAGATTTCGCGGAGGTTCGTCTCGATAGACCGTATATTGCACGGTTGAGAAGGAGATGATGGCGAGCAACAATTTCATGATGACACTATCCGGAACTATACGATGAGCAACTTGTTGAACAGTTGGAATGTAACTTGGATGACTAATCAGTCCGACAGCCTCGAGAAAAACAGGTAAATCATTGAGCCCAATCTGAGAATGAATAAAGTTCACAGAACTTGTTGTTGTGTAGACAAGAGTGTTATCCAATAGAAGTGCACGGTCATTTTCCGATAGATCAATGAAATCTCGATTATTGATGTACAGCAGAGGGTTCTGACGCATTAATGAAGTGATTAACTCAATTACTGTTACAGGCTTATAGCGTAGTTTAACAGGAAATTTGTTTTGTTCATACATGTAATTTCGACCAATTAATAATCCACTATATTCGTCATAACATTGTAACAAATTCGAAAGAAGTTTCCATTGATCGCTGGTCAAACCTGATTGATCTGCTGTCAGTAGATTTAAAGTTGCCAGCTGAAATTACAGATAAAAAAGATTCACGATTCGCTAAAGAATAGGAATGTGTCGAACCTTTTCAGGCGTTTTAAGTGTGATTATATTCGAGTTTTGTGCCATCAATTTGTTCTGCTTTGAGTTTTTCCAAGACTCTCGAAATCTGGTTGTATCCATACCGTTCTCCAGGCATTTCTTCAATCGACAACATGTACATATATGTCCATTACTAATATTTATATGACAATTATTCCCATACAGACATCGACGTAGTCTCTAAAAACAAGCACAATATCTCCGAGCAATGCAGCGCGTCAACTAACCTGTTTCTCGGCGTTTCGTTTAAAGAATGTTTTGCATGATTTACACGCGATGCATCCATAATAAACACCTTGTGCTGGTGCTTCACATATTTTACATCTAGATATCATTGCTGAAGTTTTCTTTAAAAAGATAATGAGATATTTCAACTACAGCAACGTTGGTGGTTTCCCTTTTATGAAATCTAGAAGTGTATTGAAGCTTGAGCAGCTTCTAGCTGGCAGAAACAAATCTTAGTTAAAAGAAAATGCAAACGGACGATGGAATGGAGGAGAAAGAGGAAGACAGCTTTTTCTTCTCGCTCTCTATTTGAAAAAAAGAAAAAGCACTTCCTATTATAGAATATAAGAAAAAAAGGACTAATCTGAGTGTAATCTTTCTTACTCACAGAGAAGAACACGTGCCGTTCTTCCAGATTGATCGACCTTTGAAACTATAATGAAACGTTCATCATTATGAACTGCATTCAAGTCTTGTTCTGTACTTTCACACTGACAAATCTCTCTCTACGTATCTTTTCAATATCTCAATCAGAATTCATTGCATTGGCCTGAATTTGTCCTAAGATGCAAAATCTAATATTCTACAGAGATCGTATGCTTTTACTCGGTTGTATTCATTTACTTTAGCCAGTGGATCCCGTATGCGAACCATCTATTGCCCAACGATCTTTGGCCAGAAATGCTGGAAAATGACCGAGAATGTGATTCCTTTCAAACATGCGCCAAGCCACATCATAATGAATCCGATGAATACTTATTTGAAAAGCTTTGAGATTATTAAATAATAATTGTCGAACAGTAATTCTCTTTTTGCGTTTCATCTTATTTTTCATTTTTCGAATAGTACGTACGAGAGTCATCTGGAAATGATGAAGCACTGACGGATCCCGTTTCGCTTATCATATTGTGCCATCTTTTGGCTGTTTTTGAACAAGATCCTTCGCTTAAATCTCGAAAGTTTTTCGTTGAACTGCCAATATTCTGTTAATCTTTACTTTTCATTATCCAAAGAATTTAAATGAATTTTCACCTTTGATAGATATTGCAAATTGATAGAAAATCAAATTTTACATCTTTAAAAACGCAGGTTGACACAAGGAATCTCTATTGAGATATTAAAAGAACACGTAAAAGTACATATGCATTGAAACACTGGTTATTTTCGAGATCAAATGAATGCAGGATCCAGAAGACAAGCAATTAACTTCCAGATTAGCCTCAGAATCATACAAACTTTTTATAAACTCAGAATTAGTTATTCCCTAATTTACACGCTCTATCTTTGAGAAAGCTTTGCAAACATATTTTTCAATTTAACAGCTTCATTATATTAGTGTTAATGCATTCTATGAAGAGAACAACAAAGAAGACCGATAATTGATAATTGAAGGCAATGTAGCAGCTATAGTTTAATGTGCAAAGCCATTTATTTTTAATCTTCTTCATCTGTCTAAAATATATTCGAATATACATAAGGTGTGATTTAAAGCATATTGACAATGAAAATTTCATTTGTTACTCGTTCGGGTTCGACACGATTTTGCCGAAATCGATTCATATAGACATCGTATAGAACATATTTTGCCTGTCGACGGAATCGTTGTGATACACAAATATACGTATAAAAAGAACTCTGAAATACATTCAAAACAAGTTAGACTGTCTTCTTGCAGTGAGATACATTACCCCATTCGTCAAAATATTGATAGTAAGTGTGACAGCATTGATTAGATTGAGTTGTGCGAGAGTAACAGGATCACGATTTGTATTTAGTTGTAAAAATCCACTGGTAATCGAATAAGGTAAGTAAGTAAAAACATAAACAGTAATTTCCACTAAAACCATCACTGTCAATTGTTTGTCTAATTCGCGTCTAACTAGAGGATGCGTTCGTGTCGTCAATGTTCGTGCATTTCGATAAGACAGTATGCCAAAAATAACAGCTATTAATGGGAAAAGATTGCTTAATGTTAGAAAATATCCGTAAACATGATATTGAAGAAAAATTCTATCGACTGGAATACAAACAGCTGTATTTATTGGTGACATTTGTCGCAAATAGATCATATACAATACACCATTTGCTGTCCAAATTGTCGAAATGATAATTGTCAAGCGATAAGCTATTTTAATATTTGACCATTTCTGCCACTGTGGTCGAGTACAAGTCGCGAAATACTGATCAATTATTGCTAAACACAGCATTGTTACAGCGCTGATGACACATGTGGCCACGATCAGATTTCTTATTTGACAGTAGAAAATGATAGCCGAAGTCCAGTTGATTGTAAATGCCATTGAAATAGTGACAAATGATGTGCTGAATACTAATCGAATGAGATTGAACACGGACATGATCAGAAGATAAAATGCGCATGAACTTCGCCGAAAAGTTTTCAGACTGAGAAAAACAATGATGCTGAACAGTTCACTGAATAGACAGACAAACCAGGTCGGAATGGAGACGTAGAGAGCGAATTGCATTTTTGCATAATAAAGTGATGCAATGTATTCTGTGCTCATTCTGTTCGGTGATAAAACAAATGAAGAGTTACATCAACTGAGTTCTTCTTCAACGAGAAAATGTTTACGCGTCAAGAGAGAAGAAGAAAAGCTTTCGATGTTATCCTTTATGTCAAGACCATTTGTAGAGAAAAAGAAAGTTTTTTTTTTCTTTTTTGAGCATACTTAGCATAATTCAAAATGACGCACTTGATTGTAGGAAATCTTTGAAAAATACTGATGACATAGAATGTTAATTAATAGTGAAATTAAATTTTTGTGACTAGTACATCTCTGGTGTTGTGTTGACGTTGAATTAAAGAATAAAATTAGTCAAATAGACTAGATAACTTTTTTTTATTCAAAATTGAAGATATCATATGTTTCAATGATATTGACGATAGAGATCAGCATGAGATAAATTGTATTAATTCAATATTTATTGTAAGTAGTAGACTCAGATAACGAATAGACTGTACTTTGTTTTCGTTGATGACTTGAAAACAAATTGCTGACTTTTGATTTTTTCAATTTTTCGGTGGTACAATAGAAAATGAGCTGCAAACAACATCTACCTCTTGACAATGACCACATAGTTGAAAGTCGAAACGTCGAAAATCTAAAAATCAAGAAATCAACAATTTGTTTTCAAGTCATCAACGAAAACAAAAAACAGCCTATTCGTTACCTGAGTCTACTACTTACCATAAACATTGAATTAATAAGATTAAATAACGTCAAATACAAAAACTGAATTCACTTTTCCTATCGTATGCTTATCTCTTTTCATATCTTATCCATACTTTGAGAGTAATGAAATAAAAGGTATACTTTCGCTACGAGCTCCATAAAACATTGTGCTGCAACAGAAACAGACTCATGACGTTTTAGCGTATCATCGGTTACTCATATTTTAGATTCAAATTAAATAGTGTCGTCAAATCTTTCTTACGTGAAATGGGTGCGAGTAAGTCGATTCTAATAAACTTAAATATGACTAAGAAACACGTGTATGTCAGGTTATTCTAACAATGTCGCTTCGTCTTACGAAGCTCAATTCCAAGTTCATGCAGTTGTAGAAGATTTATATAAACAGTTGAGAAAAGCGGATATGCAGTCGTTTCTTTCGTGGCAAACGTTAAATCAAAAAATGATGGACATATTAGTACCCATGGCGACAGTAACGCCATCACGATCACTTGCTGGTCCATCCATCGGTATCATCGGACGTTTGGGCACAGGTAAAAGTACTCTTATTAATACGCTTTTAGGACGTAACGTAGCCAAAGTGGGTGTTGGTGAAGTAACAAAGCAAACCCAGTCATATAAAGCAAAAGATTTCTATATCTACGATACGCCGGGACTCGATGATATCAGTACAAATTTTACTAAAGACAATATTAGCTTTTGGAAGGGTCTAAATATACGGATTGTTGTAATCACCACATCAGTTACCGAATTAGCTCAAATACTTCGTCTATTCGATGATATTGGCTTGAGTTATGATCTTGTAGTTAATAAAATGGACCTTGTGGAATCAAAATCTCAACAGATTTTTAAGATCTATATAAGAGATCAGATCAGAATTCATAGATTAAAATGTTTGAGAAATGTTTGGTTTGTCAACGCTTTAAACCCAGCCCAATATCCTGATTGGCAAGAATTGATTACCTATATAATGCCGCACGGTAGGACATCACAATTTTGATAATATTTACTGACGTGAGAAAAATCTTTCTTTCTGATAGAAAAACCGTGTGAAAATATCATTGAAGAAACAAATTCTACAACATCCGAAAAAGCGTCAATAGGTGATCAGATTCGATCACCGTTTCTCTATTTCCTTTACGATGAAAGCTTGTGCCAAGAGGACAAGAAATATCTGTCTAATGCTTTTCTGTCTGAACAGCACTGCTTTCTTGAAATTGCACATTTTGGTTCGTTTTCACCAATAACTTCTCAAGCTTCATACTTTATTACTTATATTTCGTCACAACCACCAAGAATACCTAAAGATACCGTTGGTAAGATTTACTATTTGAGCTCCGAATGCAAACAGAACGATTCGTTGCAATGCGCTACTTGCGTCAATACTGTAAATAATTTAATACGCAGACTGTACCATGATCTTGCTGTCTTCTATCGAGAAGAAGCTGTACACATCCAGGAGAATGAGGGTGATCATCTATCCGTCGAAATGCTTCTCGCGAAATCGATAACGTGCTACGAGATGTTCCAATTAGAAACGAAACGAGCTGTAATTTGATTCGACAGTCGATGTGATGTTGGACACTTGTGATAGGATGCGAATGCATCTACTGTTTATATAAACAGTTTATGATGCTTCATTTTTTTTGCTTAACAAATGACTAAATAAAGAACAACTTTTTTTCAACGTGACAGTGCTATCTGAAACAACAACTTCAATCGTTTTTCTTTTGTTCTAGATTGGTAAAAGCTTCTAATGGTGAGTTTATAATATGTTTCCTATTTTTCGTTTCACTTATTCTTTTTTTTTTGTTATAAGAGTGTGATATTGGGTACATCATATCCATCAGACCTCTTTGATGATGAATACCTTATTCGGATTATTGATCCGAACGAATCGATCCAACATCCAACAGATAGTTTAGGACCTTACTATACCGTTGTTAAAATCCATTCTGACGTAGCAACCTGGCGTGAGGAAATAGAAAATACTAGAAGTCGAAGATTTGCTGTTATCGTAATACTACCTACCCAAACATATGCCGAAATCGTAGACTTTATTCAAAAAAACATACATAATCGTCCAGGCGTGGACACTTATTTCATACTATCGGACAATGGCTGCTGCTACAAACAGCAATTGTGTATAAGATTCTATCCTCAATTGAAATGGTCGCGTTCAATCCAAGGCGCATGCCAAACGCACATTCAAGCCGCTTGCTGCACCGCTAGCGATCTTTACATTAACCATTATCTAGATCAAGAGATGAAGAGTATACATGAGGGTGACAAAGACAAGGTCAGATGGTACCGCTCACAACAAACAGCTAGAGCTGAGCTGCAAAGATTGTACATGCAACAGTTCATGAGCCATTCCGACGACAACGCATAGGAACATGAGCACGGATGAATTCCGGCAGAAAATGCTATTCATAAGTCTTTTCGAATAAGTGCTAGTTTGATCAATTCAATAATAAACGAATTTTTGTTTATAGATACTTAGCTACGAAATATATTAATAGACTGTTACGTTTAGTTAAGGAGTCGCACGTGCGTTACGAATGAGTCAATCTGTTAATGATTTACAAATACCTTGAGAACGAAAAACAAAATAAGTAATGAAGGTAGATGAAGAAAATATAAGGATGACTGAGTATTCAAACTGCGCATTTTCATAACGATGGTGTATATTCCAGCAACTATACTTGGTCGAGGCGTATTAGCTTCAATAATTGCCTTATATATATTTTTGCTAATTCTAAATTTAGTTTCGTTTGGAGGACTCCAATGGATTATGTATACAGATTATAATCTGCAGTTTGGTCTTTGGCGTGTTTGTTATGGAGCAGTATCTGCAACACGCACATGTAGTCAATGGTCGAGTGATTCGAATACAGTCGATTCTGCTACGAATGCTGTGATTTTCAGCGGAAAACCGGGTTTTATTCAAGCTGCTCAAGGTCTCGAAATTACTTCTATTATTCTGTATATTATCGCTGGAGTATTGATCATTCTTGGTATTATCGATCTCGCAGTAATGCCGCTGGAAACCATGTTTCTAGCTGCAGCTGCACTTCTCTTTCTCACCAGTGAGTACATTTTATGGTTCAAATCCAATGTTCTTTTCTCTTTCCTTTCGCAGTTATCTTCTTATCGGCAGCATTAGGTGTAATGAGTGTTCAAGGCCGTAGTAATCACCCCGGTGCATATCTAGATTGGGCTTGGTGGATCGGCCTTCTTGGATTAATCGTCACCATAATCTGTGTAGTGCTCATAATTGTCTTCATTCTTGATATATATCAAACTAATACACCTAAAATGAACAACGGTAACAGTTTCACTCCGCAACGACAAAACTGGAGTGGTTTTGCACCAATGATAGCTGGAAGTTTGGCATATCCACCACCTTACTCTTCATATCCATCTTATAACCAATGGCCAACGGGTTATCCAGTTCCGGCGCCAGCGTCATCACCTCCACCATTCTATCCGAACTATCCATACCCTAGCTATGGTGGTATGTTCGAACCACCAGCGTCGCCACTGCTTGCGTCCTTAGCTCGTCAACAACTTGCTAATATACGACGATTTTAATACACGGATGAATGAAAAAACTTCATGTAAACCAACGTTCATTTTCTTTTCTTCGATTCTTGTAAATAATTGACTAATGTATTAGACTTAGTAGTACACATTTTCATATGTAGCAGAACGGCAAAAGACTGACTACACATCCAATCCTACGACCAGTCATCCTCAATCAAAAAGATCTTCTATGTCAAATCCTTGAGGCGATTTATATGATTATTTTCCAAATACATATTTGATATAAAATTTATCGGTACTGAAAACAATTGAAAAAATAATCAATCTACGTATGACTAAACAGGATGTAAATGTAAAATATATGTGTGGGACAAACTTGTTGAATATCTGCTGATTTACAGAGACTAAGAGCTCGGCAATGAAAATTCAAGTATTCTAATTATTCTTCATTGTTAAGAATCTGGTTGTGCAGAAACAACGAGTCGTCTATATATTTGATGGAGGTAGGCATGTCTTGTAACTGTTTCTCTCAAGGATTTAAACGAAGTAAAAATAACAACTAATCCTTTGTGCGCGATATTTACATGAGGAATACCTTGAGAGACAAAATAAAGATAAAACAACCGAGAGCAGGGGAAAGAGAGGAAAAGAATAGAAAGAGAACGAGCCGTCTTTTATCTTTACAATATGTTAAGAAAATGTGTGTTATCAAAAGTTTTAAATACGACAAATAAATTTCAAATCTAAAGAGAACTACCAAGAGAATTTGCATACAACATGGATACCAACGACGATATTGAGATGAATAATGTCATCAGTACAGATGCCCCATACCTTAGTGAAAATAACAATGCCAACAATACGGATAACAAGGATGCTGTTGAAATGAAAGCTGTTAGTGATACGAATATGAAGACTACTGTAGGATGGACTGAACAATCGGTCGATAGAGAGCCAACAGAAGAGGAAATGGCTTCATTAGAACATGTTTCTGATCGAATACCCATTGGAGCTTGGTTGATTGTCGTCTGTGAATTGTGTGAACGTTTTGCTTTCTATGGTCTTTCAGGTCCTTTTCAAAACTATATACAATTTCCCCCAGCGAATGAAAATAGTACCCAGCCAGGTGCGCTCGATCGTGGCCAACAGACTGCCACAGCTCTAACGACATATTTCCAGTTTTTTGCATATCTCACACCGATTGCTGGTGCTATTCTTGCTGACCAATTTTGGGGCAAATATAAAACAATTATAGTGGCCTGTTGTATCTATATGGTTGGACTGCTGGTGCTTGTCTTGTCGAGTATACCGCCATCGCTTAACGCGGGTGTTGCTTTTCCAGGTTTAATCGTTGCTATGACTATTATCGGCATGGGAACTGGTGGCGTGAAAAGTAATGTTAGTCCGCTGATGGCCGAACAGTACACTGTGACGAAAGCCGTGGTTAAAGGTACTTGATTTACGGATTGAATGAAGATCGATTTGATGATTTTGCTTTCTAGATATCAAAGGCAAAAGAAAAATTGTTGATCCGAAAGTGTAAGTTTTCGGAAGTGATTTGTTCGTCTTTATGATAAATGCGGTATTTATTTTTCAGCACGGTACAGTCGATGTTCAATTGGTTTTATTGGGCCATCAATATTGGTGCAATCTCCTCAATAGCCACGACAAATATTGAAAAATACTATTCGTTTTGGCTCGCTTATCTCGTACCTTTGGTCGTTTTCACTGGTTCTATCGTTGTTTTGATACTTGGTCGTAAGCGATACATTCTCTCACCACCAATGGGTTCATTACTACTTCGTGCGGGTCGTGTCGTTATCAAAGCCATTCGAATGCGATCAAAGTTAGGTAGACAACCTGATCGGTCCGGCCTGTTAGATTATGCCAAAGAGTATCCTGCATCGCCGATTCAAGATGAAGAACAAAAACTAGCATTGGCAAAAGAAAACCAATTTATTGATGATCTCAAACAAGCAACACGAGCTTGTCGTGTCTTTCTCTTCTATCCTTTCTATTGGATTTGTTACAATCAACTGGGAACTAACTTAGTATCACAAGCAGCACAAATGGATGTTGGTAAGTCAGTTTTAATCATCCAATTTCTCATTAGAAGCATATTTATTTCTTTAGGTCCTCTACCCAATGATGTCTTACAGAATATTGATCCAATCGTACTGATTGCTTTCATTCCAATCTTCGATAAAGTGATCTATCCAACTTTACGACGATTTAAAATTAATTTTCCATCCATTCCTCGTATTACATGTGGATTCATCTGTGTTTCAATTGCCATGGCATGGTCATCGTTTGTTCAACATAAAATCTATCAGACTGGACCCAATCTTAACTATGCTGTGAAACCATGTGACGGATGTCAGAAGTACAACGATATAGTCGTTGCTTGGCAAATCCCATCGTATTTTTTTATCGCTATCTCGGAGATCTTTGCTTCCATCACCGGCCTTGAATATGCCTTTACCCAAGCACCTGCTTCGATGAAATCAATCGTCATGTCTCTTTTTCTCTTCACGTCAGCCATTGGTAGTGCGCTAGGTTTTGCACTTGTGCCAGTAACCGTCAATCCCAGACTACTGTGGATGTACGCTTCCTTATCGATCATGTCATTTACCGTTGGAATCATATTCTTTCTCGTCTTTCGTAATGAAGGCAAAGTGCGTGTATCACCAGCGTCGATTGAAGAGAACCAACAAACGAGCTTTTAATTTCATGCGTGCCGAACATCAAACGAACAGAAGATTTTCCAGCTTAAGCCTTTGTTTTATTATTTATTAGTAGTTTATTTGAATCTTTATTTTTGGTATTATGCACGATTCTATATGCTTATTAAATATAATAAAAATCATTATAAATTTGTTTTATAGAAAATATGCTATGTTGTCGGTTACACTTATTCACATTTAGGTTTATCAATGGACTTTATCGTTTGGAGAACGATAAATCTCACTATCGAGTGAAGAATGGCGATGATTACAAAGACACTCACTCTAACCGTCTATTTCGGAATTACACAGTTGGCTTAAACGGATGAATAACGGTGGTATCGTATTTCATATTTGGAAATATTCATGACACATTCGGAGAACTTTTCGATACTTTCGTATGATACGAATCAATGAGAATTATCGACGGTGAATCTGATCATTTTGAATTCCATCAAGACGAACCTCATCCAGCATTGTTATCCATCAGCTACATAGCATAGGACTACGTTATATTATACAGCATGTATGTACTACTGACAAAGTTTACTCGAGACTGATTTACGAAATCGAAGTTTTCGTTAAGTATCTAAATTCTCTGATGATCACTTATGTGAAGTTTGCTACTGAAACAAAACTATAGAACGATAGTTTTGTTGTATGTTTAATAATGAATATTGGTCAAATTGATATTTGAATAGGAAAAGAATATTTTCATTAGCGCATGCGATCATATATTACAACAAATGAGCAAAGCATTGTTTTTCTGAAAATCACGTCGATAAAGATGGTTTCACAGGCTTGATTCGATTATTGTTTCCTTGTCGTCGAAAGTATTGTCTAACTTTCATATATTTCCATAACTTAAAACAAATTTTAACTAGTAGAGGAATAACTATCGGTAATGCTTTGAGTGAACCACTCAAAATACTACACGTTATCGCCATTACATAAAATAATTGAAACTTTTGTATAACTGCGTAATGACATTCTTTTGGCTGACATTTGTCGTAATATGATGAATAAGTAATATTAACAGACCATTCTGCAGCAAACAGTACGTCTATTAATTCTTGGACTGTTGAGTTCGCTCGATACAAAGATGAATTTGACGGTGCGTCGAACTTGCCTGCCGATATGTTGTATGGTGAAAACATATGGATTCGTAATAATTCCAGGCAGGTGATATTGAAAAAACATTCAAGTGTGGATTGAAGAAGACCATCAATAAAATAACAACTAAGATACATTCCAGGCACAGGGATTTGCGTTCTTGGAAAATATAGTCGTTTTTTATAGAATTTCGATGGTATTTGACATGAATATGTTTGATTACGATATGTCTTCCATTTTTTATTTATGTAGAGAATGTCTGATATGTACGGCATTCCACTTTGATTATTTGGCGTTCGGATCAGATCCCATTCATAATTTGTTTGAACTGCAGGTAACAGGCTATTTGAGGATATCATTGCACGACTTACTTCTATCAGATGTTTGTATTGCGATGCAAGTAACTGTAGAAATCGGTCTACTTGTAGTTCGAGATCTTTCTCGAAGTGCTCTTTGTCAGTTAAAAATGATGTTGTATAGAATGTAGATAGAAAACGTTTAATTCTCGCCTGCGCAAAAGTTCTGGCAATAAAGTAGAGATTTTTTGTGAACTGTAAATAGTACACAAAGATCAAAGGTAAATTTTCTTCAATAGGTACATCTGTAAGACTTATTTGTAGACCTATCCACCTTGGATCCAATAAGGGGCTAACGGCGACTGGATGAAATGCTTTAGATGCAATTGAAATGAAATTCGAATATTCATTACTGATGATCGTGCATGGACAAGATAATGAACTCGTTCGAAATTGAATTGATAAGTTTTGATAGTCAGAGTACGATGACACAGAGAATCTTCTCGTTTCCACATTATAGCGTAAAGATGTGTAAAGAATAAGTGCAGTTGTAAAGACAAATAAGAAAATGATGTAGACACGCGTTGACAAAAGCTGTTGTTTCAATTGTAACTGCTTTTCACATTCCAATACCGGTACGGATGGTGGCCGTTTGAATAAAGGTTTGAATAAATTGAAATTTTTAGCGAATCTAGTCATTCTTGAACATAGTATTTTCAGCCGAACATCAGAATCTTTCAATAGAAGAAAAATTTATGGTTTTTCTCTCTCTTGGTAAGAAAAATATCGAAGTTCGGAAAAGCTGTAGAGCTAGTTTTTACTTGTATGCTCATATGCATGTATTAGTTTCATGCGGCTTGAAAAAAACCACGATATTTATTTTATACTGGGCTAGAATATTACAAAAGGTAATTAGGGAGGTGGAACTTTCCAAACAACATCGTATCAAATAGTATACTAAGCATATGCTATAAAAAGATGAATCGAATATCGTTTTTTTCTGAGATCACGTTCTGAATGCTTGGAGATCGCTTTATGTGATATGAAGGAATAATACTTTTAGATAAGTTGTAAACTTACTTATTTCATCTTGATCTTGATCATCTTCATATCTTATCTTGATCCATAGTTTTCTTATTAATTTCACTAAATATGGTACAATTAACCTTAATGACCAAGACAAACCGCTGATAACACCCAGAATTATTGAAATAACATAAGTAATCAAAAATCGTCTTACATACGTATAAGTACATTGCTTTGGTTTACATTTTTCGTAATATTGCTCATAATTAATGATTATTTGCCAATGCTCGATCATTGACTCTTGAATTAATCCATTAATTCTCGTTGTTGAATTGAATATCGATGGAGGCGAATGTTCTTTCAGTACAGTGATATTCAATTCAAACGTCGGTCGAAGGTAGTATATTAATGCAGATAAACATGACTTATTATACAGACAGACTAAAGTAGACGGTAACGCACCAAAATATGGATAACATCCGCCGAAAATTCCTGGTACAGACCAAAAAGATCCATATACACTAGTCTTATTTGGCTCAAGAGCTGCAATGGTCGCAGGGATAAAGCAGTGTCTGTATTGGAGTATACATAAACATTTATCAGCATAGGAAAACCCCATATGCACTGACCATGGAGGGTATCGCAGATATGGCGAATAGTTTATTTGCATGTAGGAATATAGAGAGTTCCATTGTATCATTTCTGCAAACATTTCCGCTGATAAAGCGTTCGTCAGATGTTGATCAAGTTTGAATAGTTCAATAGTATGACTTTGTTGGGCAATAAAAACTGTCCTTTGTACGACTTCTTTTGTAATATAAACGGATGATTTCAGATTGTTTAACTTGGTTTGAACGTTTTCCTGGCTCAACTTGCAAAATACTTCAATCATACGAAAGACGGCTGGTCCAATAGCTGTCGAAAAATCGTCTGTAATATAAAGAATTCCTGATGAAACATTCTCAGCACGACTAATCAAATATCGGTACCATATGTCTGTTATATAGACGCTTGAACAAATTTGGTGATATTTAGGTGTTATTTCAATAAATGTTTGTAAATCAATAGAAATCTGTGTGCATTCACACGTAAGAGTATCGGCATGGTGAACATTCAGATGTTCATATTCTTTAACAGATGGCGAAGGTACTGTAATTGTGACTTTTTGTGGTAGGACTGCTGTATAGGTTGTTACGAGAATGAGTGCGACAAGAAAAACGAAAATATAAATATACGTTGAAATAATTTCAAAATAAACTACTTCGTAATCGGTGGACGGTGGAGTCGATTTAAATAAATTAATGGATTTGAGTTGCCCAATCAACCAACGACGCTTGGAAATCTCTAAAAAGAAGCACAAAATAGAACAAGATCAATGTTAACTATAGAAATTCACTCCGAGTTATCATCTATTTGCACAAATTTTATGCAAAATCTCATCTTATATAAAATAGAGAAGTAATCATTTTATACTTTAATATTTTAGTTTCCGTCAGCGGAATAAATATCAATAGACTCAAAGACAGAATGTACACTTCTCAGCCTGTCGAATTCCAACAGCTCTTTTCACTTTTCTACAGGAAAGATTAGTTTTTTAAAATATTTTGAGACGATAAACTATGGTTCAGATTAGTTATTTATTTATCAGCCAATTGAAAACTTTCGGCTCGTTTTAGTTTTTTTCATGAGAACAGTGCTTATCCAACCTTTCTTCCTCTGTCTGCCCATACCATGAACAGATCGAAAACTTACGTTCATTAGTGGTATGTCTTCTTTTTCGAATAAATTTTACAGCATTTGGCACTAACACTCGAAGGATAGTTACTAGACCGCCAATAGCACTCCACAATATAGTAATCACGTAAGATATAACAAATCGATGTTCATATGTATATATGCATTGGAATGGTTGACACAGGTCATAGTATCTGTGAAAAGAAGTAGTTCTGTTCCATTCGTTAATCATTAGATGACTTGCAAGTTCGTAGACTGTTTGATTTATTTTTGAGAATGATCGTGATAAATTAATCGTAGTGATAGATAATGAAGAATTGAGATGAAATGTTAATTCTTTGATACATGTTTGGTTATAGAAACATGTGAGGCTTGAGTCAAGTAAAGAATCAACTATAAAACAGCCTGTGTGAAAGTTTGGAATTGTAAAGAGAATGTTAGAAGTTTGTAAATCTCGAATTTCGTATTCTTGAATACATTTGGAAAGATAACATCGGCAAATCGTATGCGTTTTCTTGTCGTAATATTTCATATCACGGTAATATGTAAGCAAATCATCAATATCTGATGTAATAACCGACGGTACATTTCTGTAGTGAACAAGATTCGTAGATAATGTGGATGCCAAACCTTGCGAATGTATCAAATCAGAAAATATTCGAATTAATTGTACAAAATTGACTTCTTCTGTCTCAATCAATTTGTCAACATATGAACGGATTTCTTCTTGAAATATATTATTAGCCTTTAAATGATAGCTGATATACGATCGGGACTTGAATTGCTGTTGAACAATTTGATCGATATTTGTTTCAGCAACTTTACATAAATTTCGAAGAAATTGAAATGAATAAACTGCTGTTCGACGAAAATCGGTGGCACTTAGATGAGGTAATTGACTTGTATTGCTTAGAAAGTCAAGCCATTGGTCACTTATGAAGTCTGACGTGCAAACAGGATGATAGTGTGGCTGCAATTCGACAAATTCATCAAAAGCAATCGAAGTTTGTTTGCATTGACATTGAAGATTTAGTTGTTCATATGTCAGTTTTTGGTATTGGTGATATAAGGGCTGTTTGACAACGATTGTCTCTGTAATGGATACAGTCAATGTATAAATCAAAAGGCCAAACACGGATACTACTAATAAGATTAAATATATACGCGTTGAAAGCGTTTGATTATGCATTTCATGGGAATCTTCGTCTTCATCTGTTGAAAACAAATTTAATTCAATCAAAGAGGTTCTAGTTTGATGCAAGTAACGCTTTGACAAGGTTCGTAGATTCATTGAGATTTGTTCGCTTTCAGCAGCAGTAAATATATATGTATTTCATAAATTACAATACACGCATTATTTGACAGCCTGAAAAAGAAGTAGTCTAAATAGAAAATGCATCGACTTTTTTTAATTTTTACGTTGATTGTGTACTAAGTGATCAATAAAGAAAACTTTAATATACCGCGAGCAAGTAATTGAAAATATATAGAACATAAGTACTGTTTTTGATAAGGGAAGGAAGATGTGTAAACGCCGATGAGTGGACGAATTAGACTTACGCTCGTATTTCAATCCACGCACACATTCGTGAGATACCAGAAGCCAAGTTTTAATTTATATACATATTTCTAAAGCATACGTATTTGCGCTTTCCTATGTACATTTTCTAACGTTCGCTTAGATGTCTCAATACAAAAGATTTGCGGTCCTTACTTCTAGGTACTCCAATTCTATAGCTTTTGAACAAATGGATATATAAAAAAACTTTCTCGAATCTCCTAAAAATCAGTCTTAATGAAAATGAATGCAAACCAGATAGAGCTTCATGTGACTAATAATTGCGTTCGCTTCCTTTTGATCTTTATTTCGAATCTGAACAAAGTTTGGCGATGACAACTATTACGAGGACAACAAAGAAACGCTTTTCCTTAGACACATAGACTAGATATGGAATTACTTTTCGGAAATCAGCAAGGGTACAACCGGTTAAACTGATCATAAGAGTTCCTGATGATTCAGAAGAATATAAAGTATTGTTTCTCGTATATCGAAAGAATATCTATCTGAGTGAGCCTAAGAAAATGGAAGAAACAAACTCAATAAATCTATTGAGACTTTCTACTTTCAGAACATTTAATAGAAAACAGGTATAATAGATCGTTTTGACAAGATTTGATTTTCATCTGCTCATATTGATAACGTTCGCATGCCTTCGTGACTTTAGAAAAAGTCGAGCAATGAGCGATGATTGATGGCAAAACTTGTTTTTTTAACTGCTTCAATAAAACAACACGTTATGACATAGAAAATGATTAATTTTCTTAAATATACGCGTTATAATGATTCTTGTCTCTTTAACTGTTTCCCTAGTTTCCAGACATGTAATAATCGTTAATCTCAATATACTATTATATCGACACCTGTGTCTTGCATCCCTCTCATGTGAATCATCAACGATCCGCTATTCCAAAAAGGTATCCTTTGATGGAATAAAAATGCAATCCGGTTATTATCTGTAGATTATTTCATAATATGCATGTTGCAGTTTTCCTTTAAATATACAAACATATATTGAATCTACCAAGGTGTACACATATACGCACACCACATGTCATCTATCTCAACATTCTATATCTTCTAAAGTGCTTCAACAACCCTAATATTGTCGTATTATCCTACAAAACCTTTTCTCAGAGTTGAGGAGAGCTTTGTTTTGTATCCCCGCGACCATATTTTATAACATATGTGGTAGTGCACTCGTTCACACATAAAGAACGCTCTGGTCATATAAACCGAAACTCTTCATTGAAGATCAGCATTTTTTTCTACTATTAAAGCACAGTAATGCAGCATCATATGGGTAGTTTTATTGAAAAGAAATCTAAATCACTTAATAAAAAAAGAAATAGAAGAAAATGAATAAGTATATATTAATCTGATTTTCTTCAGAAAGAAAACGATTACTCTGACCATGATTGGTAACGATTAATGATCGATTTGCATTAAGACAGCTTGTCATATTTGACGTGCAATTATCTTGGGCACAAAAGCATACTTGCTGAATATACGTTTCGTTACTTGAATCAATTATTTGCTTGTAAATCACATAAAAGTATGATGAACTTTGATTATATGCTACACTTACACCGGGATACTGATCAAAATAGTAAATATTTTGGATATTTGCAAGCAAAATCAATCGATATTCATCGTCGGATAATCCGACCGCCATAGTTTCATTGCCTTGAAGTATAAGAGCACATAAAACTGTATTTGCACGATAATATTCAATGCATGCGGTCAAGTTGATATAAGGAGAGTGCGAATTGGCACAATAATAAGTCGTGTTGACAGCATCAGTTTGAGAAAACAATGAATTGACACAAGAAATCGATAACTGCAGTCGAGGAAGCAATGCTGGTAAACTTACTGGTGCAGAATTTGATTGTGTTTGATTCTGAACTGACAATCGACACGAATCAAGATCATGATTACATAAATTCGTTGCACAAATACATAGAATCGATGTATTAAATGTTTCATATGACAACGGTGAACAATTACCATATCCAATATCGGTTTGATTCGAAAAGCCATTGCATCGTTCGGCGAAACTTTTATACGTATTTGTTATTTGAATAAAATCCTGAATGACTTGGGTGTTCGACCCGTAACTATAGTATTGGTATACGCAGTACTCACAATCTGCAACCATAGAATTGGAATACAGACAAGTCAGGTTCATTCGACTTTTTGTCTGGTTCGTCATCATAAATTGATCGATATTCATGAAACTTTGACAACGAAGTATCAACATACAGAAGAATACGAAGAGCGCCGTCATTTCTACATACGATCAACGCACCGTCTCTTATATACGAGAAACTTTTAACAAAATAATTTTTTCCTGTCATGCAATGTGTACAAAACAAAAAAAGGGCGAACTGTTTTTACTGTAGCGACAGTCGAAACGATCCGGATTCGTCTCGCTTAATCAAATACTGCGATGGTAAATAATGTTTAAACCATGTTTCTAATTTCGTCGGACTTTCTTTCCATTGCTCGCATTGACACTGGAAAATTAGTGTTCGCAGACGCGTCATTCGATTGATGAGATCGACTACACTTGTTTTCTTCTGAAGATTGATTTCTAAAACTTGACATTGTTGAAACAATGGAGAAGAACATAGTTGCTCGCATTGTTGAATGTTGTAATAGATTCCATCTCGGATAGATAGACGTCGAACAGAATTACTCGCAAGGAAAAATAGCGACCAGTTATTCTTATTGAAAATGATCGTTTGTAATCGAGGCGCACGATTAAGTAACGTTTGTACATGCGATCGAACTTGACCGTCGAGATACTGAATGTCGAGGATTGTTAAAAAGTTCAATTTTGGACAGAAAATATCGAGATATTTGAATGTGTAACCAATAACAAGGTGGCGAAGGTTGGAAAATTGAATTCTTTCATCGATTTCGTCAGTAGGTTTGTCGTCATCGGGAACCAGACAGAGAATACGAACGGTGTCATATGATTCACATTCCGTGACTTGAAAATTATACGTCGACTTCGAGTAAACAGGTTTGATATATTTGAATGCATCGAATACGTATGGTAAACTATAGAACAGAACGAAATACTGCTCTTCCGAATTGTTGTATTCAAGATTGGATAGGCAACGAAAATGCAGTTGCCGTTGTAAAGTCCAATAGGATCTCTGATACGATTCAACTAATTCATCGACTTCCATTTCAAGATCGCAGTCCATCGTCAGATAAAACGACATTTTTAAGTGAAAATCTGACAAGTGCATTAAATGTCTACAAATCAAGTCTTGCCATTGATAGCCATCGATTTTCTGATTGAATAATTCGATGTGTAATTTGAGTACATGTGGTGTTAATTGAAGAATATGATCTAATCCACTGAAATAGCCGGTAAATTTTAGATTTAGGATTGTTATTAATGGAAGAGTGCTTTGCAAGTCCATGTCGATGGAAAGATCATCGTCATCCGAATCTTGGTAGATTTCGATTGTTAATTCTTCTACGGACGGTGAATGTTTGAGTAAGGTTTCGAATTCAGTTGGCAGAAACGAACTTTCCAATAGATGTAAGCGTTTAAGAGATACAGATATGTTGAGATTGTACAAGAAATAATCGAGAAAAAGGTTCGGATCGGATATGTAAAGGTCGGTAAGAGTGAACAGGGACCAAATTGAGTAACAATAAGGATAGATATCCTGTCGATCAATATCGATTTGATCGATTTTTAAGTAGCTGAAATGCGGGAAAACGCTTAAGTTTGATAATAACCAATAGAATGCCACTTTAGAACGGATATGATATAAAGACAACGATCGTAATGAAAAGAACTTATGAAAAGGCAATCTGTAGGAGAAAAATAATTCAGTCTGGTAGGGCGTGTCATCATCATCGGAGAGTGTCAATGAGGAGATTTTCCAAACATTCTCTCGAAATGATTCCTGACAAACCAAATCCATTTCGTTTTTGGTGATCGATTGGAAATTGAAATGATAATAGCGTGAGTAGAAAGAGAGGAGTTCGGTAAAACGTGAGTTGAGATGAGAAAAGATTCGGAAGAGTTCAATGCCATCGAGATAATCGAAGATTTCGAGTAGTAAGTCATTGGGTAACGATTCGAATTGCATTTTTTTAGACGAATTCATTCGATGTTTGTGAAGCAAAAGAAATTTGGCATCACATTTTTCTTCGTTGCTTTCATTGCAATTCTTTTCATCCATGATTCTCATACCGTCACGTTGGCTTTTTTTCAGTTTTCATCAGCTATAGATGAAATCAACAATCGAATACACGTGCGCAAGGAGTAGTCAAAACAATGAGAACGTATAATTTCATAAATCATATAGAACGAACGAAAGAAAATATATTTCCTGTCGGATACAAACAAGAAGAAAACGGGAGAGCAAAATGCATCACAAAAGAAGATCAAATATCAGATTTGATTAGTAAAACTTGTTGAAATTGGTCTCGAAAACGTTTCTTGACAAAATGGTAAAGTTTATATTCCAGATCAAGTGCTGTACCTAACGACGCTAGGGTCGTATCGCTTGGTTCTAGTCGTCTACCAGTCGTTCGTATGCTATTTTCTATATGTCATATATGTGAGACAGATATTGCTAAAGAACCGTGGTAATAATCGTTCGAGTACAAATAAGAAGTTGCACAATTCTTCAACGATGCCAACAACTGTGTAATGGTTAATAATATTCTTCTTCGCTGTCACTAGTGAAAAGCCAGACGGAGTGTTACAGTTAGAATGGTATTAACTCCATGTGGCACAGTAACACATTCATCCAATGTTTCATTCAGAAATTTCAAATCGAAATAGCATCGATTCTCGTCGCGACAAATTTCACGTGTCCAATAGTATTCTTGACACGACTCTTCGCATAGGATTTCGTATCATATTAATGTATACCGGTTGTGGATAATTTAAAGAATTGAAATGGATAAAGTACATATGCCGTTCGTGGAGCACAGGCGTTTTCCCATTGAGCATACCGCTTGCAATTTCTTGATGAGCTTATCTGGAGTCAAACGAAAGGGAACGAAAATCTGTTCGTTCTTGATTATAAAACGTCGAGCTTGTGCGTGTTCATAGAATAGATTTCGAAGCATTTCACTAGTTGTGTTGAGTCCCCGACTATAAACGACATTGAGAGAGTAGCGCTTGGCTATGGTTAAGGATTTATTAGTTTTAATCTTGGAACTGTTATTGCAAAACTTTCTGAATGAATCTAAATTACGTATATGAAGGCTAGTTGTTGTTGGATGAGTACTATGGACTGCTTTGGCAAGAATAATATTTGCCGCGATTACAAATCTTATCAAGTGATTGATCATAACGAAGGATCATTTATGAAAATGTGCATTTTATGTACGCCCATGTACCTCCAAACATAATCAATGCACTTTTATATGGCCTTTATCACGATGGAGAAAAGTGTCGTGGAAAAGCACATGCACGTACTTTTGTACGCATGCTATTTCTTTCGCTTAGTGTAGAGTATGTAACATCTACTTATGCGTCCTTATCGTGCAATAATATCAAGCATGGCCACTAAAGCGTGTGAATGCATGGAGATTCATCTATTTTCCGCCAAATGGTCTTTTTATGCGACACTTTTAGTATACTGTAGACAATACTTAACTAAAGACATGTCAGAAACAAAACGTATTCAGAACGTTCTTGGACGCCTGAATCTGGCTTGTGACAAACAAGACCTTATAAAAAGATCAATATCCAACCATGAATATGCGTGATTTTTAGCGTGTATCACATAAAAATGCGAATAAGTAGCTTGTACCAATCCTTTGAAATTGATATTCAGAACTTTCTTCAACATGTATTTTTTCAAATAATCACCGCATAACAATAGTGACAAACACCGATGACATCTCCTATGATCGCCGCCTTTTACAAAGTCGAAAAAACGATTTCTTGAAAGTTTTTCGATAAGAACTCGAAGGAAGGACAAACACAACAAAGACAAGTATTGAAGGTGTGAATGAAATGAAATAACCACAAAGATATAACCATGTATAATGAGACACACCTATACAGCCAGATAGCAATGAAATGACCAAACGTGGTGTTGAGAGAATAACTAAAAGGATGGGACTGACGACAAGTTGTTTGTGTTCGCTCCATTGTTCACGAAGATGCTGTTTATATGTTTGTTGCAGCTGAGCTTCTGCTCGTCGTCGAGCACTTCCAATGATGATGAACAATGAAGACAAAAGATTTATGCTGAACGGACCAAGAAGGTGAATGAAGAGAATGGCTGTATTGTAATCTTGAAGTGATTGTGGATAGGTAGTTATACACCAGAAAACCGTATCTATCACGACGTCTTTTTCAGTATAAATCGCTCCGTCAATCTCCCTACGTTCCTGTCTTTTATATTCGACAATGTGACGGTGTAGTGGCTCATGGATGATCGTTCCCATGATCACAATTGGTAAAATGAAGATGATCCATCGAGCTAAGCGTTTACTTTTCTCTTTGTCAAAACTCACTTTTTTGTAAGCGCTCACTGCACGTTCCACTGCTACACACGCATTGAGCCAAGCATCCCAGTAGCAGAAGAGTTTAAGAAGAGTCTCAATCAACTTACAACCACCTTGGAGGACAGATTGAGGAACAGATATATCCATTTGTATGACCACAACAAACCAAAATTTGATTCCGAACATTGTGATTGTGAGGAGAGAAGTGACTGAGGACGCGAGAAGATACAGGCCACATCCGACTGTTCGTGCATTTGGATTTTGAAAAGTTAAGAATGAACAGAGACTGTTGATGACACCCGCGACAAACATAATTACCGATAATGCAGCACTGATTTTGATGGACAATGGTTGATTATGTATTGTCATGTTTGGCTTGATTTCCAGTCGAAGAATGTCATCGAGAGTCAGACCAATACTTTTCACTTGAGTATTGCACGGACCACCAACATAACAGCGAGTAGAGTTATCATCAACTAAACAAATCATTGAAAAAGAAAACAATCTGTCAGAATCTTCATGTATCATCTGTGTATTGCAAATGTTTACAGAGTTGAAAATTTCTTTCTTTCTATAATCTCCAGTCTTCTCACTACTTTATGCTATCTGTCAAGCGTGAGGGTGTAAGAGATGAATGTGGTCTTTCTATATATAAACAACATTTTATGTGTTCAGTGTATGACTGTTGTTGATACTCACCGATGCGCTGAAGAGTAACATTTGATGGACCATAAACAGTGATTGAGAATCGCGGTGTATACGCTCGATTATAAGTATTCGTCACAACTAGCATATATGTGTCATCATGGCGAAGATCAGCTGTGAATGTGAATTCTTTCTCAGATTTTTTATTACAAGCATAGTCATCGATTGACATTGAATTTTCGCGCGGATTTAATGGATCGAAATGGTTTTTATACATATATATGTGTATAACAAAAGGTCCATTCGAAACTTGACTCATAACAAGACTATAGTTTCCACTAGTGAGTACAGTTAATTGTATAGATTCATAGTAAAAATCTTGGCCATTACAATATTTATCATACTTTGGACTATCTTTTGTTAGTTCCGATGAATAGTTCGAATGGACACTTGCCAAAGCATCTATGTAGAAAAATATAAAAAGTTTCATTTGCGATACCACTAGCATGATCTGCTTTATGTGAGTTGTGTTTCTTAGTACAACTCGTGAAGATCATATATACTACTCACTTGTTCGTTCGAAACTAACACGGTTTCTGCCAGATACTCTAATCAAGAAGTTTCCCACTCTGTTGGACGAACATGTTGTCACAACTAATATGTATCGAATGTTGATTTGAAGTTCAATGGTATTTGTATTTTCAGATGAATCGTATTTATTGCAAGCATCGTTTTTCATACGTATTAAATTTGCAAATGGAATAAGTGCATAGAACTCATGTTTATAAATGTAAAACGACGTATCCATGTACGTATTATCGATGCTACTGAGAATAGTATAGAAACCACTCTCGTTCACACTTATTTGCAATGCTTCATAGTAGTATCTTGAGAGCATCTTACAAGAAGGAGGAGAATATGTCTGATGATTGTGTGTGAGTGCAAACCTGTAGTTTGATTCGACCAGTTGGTCAGCATCTATACAGCATAAAAAGTATTGGGAATGTGCTCCTGCTATTCAAGTATTAAAGTAATTGCCCGATCGAATGTATTCAACATGTGCGTGATGTCTTAGTCAGCACAAAATACAAACATCAATCGCAGTTTTAATCTGATTTGGTATGGAAACTCGATGAATAACTTCAGATCTCTCTGTCATGACGGGTGCCTGCGCTTACACACATCTAGACTGAACTGAATCAGCCTACAATCAGATTATAGTGAAGGTCTTTATCCATCCAATATTCATTTTAGTCGTATCTAGTCACTCACTTGGTGGTTTCAGACAAATTGGGTTTGAACCAAAGACGGTGACTGAGAATGAGCCTGTTACATTTGGATTGTATGTTGTGACAACCAGAATGTATCTGATGTTGACAAACAGTTCAAGAGTGAACTTGAACTGCTCTTTGTTGCAACATTTTCCATACCATGCAATCAGATCACTTGTCGGATTCGATGGATCGAAATGATGTTTGTAGAGATGACCATAAAGATCGACTGTGCTGTTCGCAGTGAGAATGTAAAAGTCACTCTTACTGACGACAATTACTTCGATGGTTTCGTAGTGATAATCTGAGGGATGCAATATAGTGCGTGAAAACAGTGGATGATTGTCGGTTAAGATTGCTGAATATGTCGCTTGAGCCGTTGGTGGCACATTTTCTAAATAGGAAAAGAAATGAAGTGTTCGATAATGAAGAAGAGTATAGTTGTGAAGGTGATGGTAAAGTTGAAGAGAAGATGAAGAAAACAAGGGAGTTATGATCTAATTATTTCATCTTTTCTGAATTCTAATGTAAATCATGCTCATACTCCATATTTACCACAAGAATCTTGATGCAGATGAAATTTCTGAACACGGTAATTGAGACGATCGTTAACAAAGAGATTTCCATAAACGTCAAAGCTAAGTTTGTCTGGCCAGTTTAGCCGATGAGATTGTGAACCTTCGCCATCGCATCCAACCAGACAACGAAAACCGGTTGGTCCCGAGGCAACAACACGATGACTTTCACTGTCGGAAATAAAGAGATATTTGTCAGCATCTAGTAAGATTGACAATGGATAAGAGAGCGTAATTGTAATATCTGATGAAGTTCGTCCTGCAACTGTTGTTCCATTTGTTTCGCGAAAGAGAAAAAGTTGAACGCGATGATTCTGGGTGTCAGCCACATAGAGATCCAAATTTGTGTCAACGAAGATGTCACTAGCGCCACTGAGTTCATTTGGTGCTGAGCCAGGATTCCCTGTGCCAGCCACAACCACCGTCTCGCTTGTGTTATCCACCCATATTTTCTCAATTACAGTGCCAGAAGCAATTGAGCAATATAAATAATTCTCAACATCGATGAAAAGCTGATCACATACTTTGTCAAAGTCCATGATGTCAACGAAAATCCTTTCATTTGGTACCCATTTAATGAGTTTCTTATTTTCACAAGGGATATAAATTTCATGAATTTTGGAGACATACGTAGACTGAAATATGCACCCATCTTTTACAGGAATTATCGTGGGATCACCAATACCCTTATGCCAAACGAGAATTTTATAGTCTTCGGTGTCCGAGATATAAATTGTATTATTCGTATCAATAAATAGAATAAGACCATAATCTGTGTATGTCACGTCTTGACGAAAAAAAGTCGTTGCAACCGGATTCCATTTTATTGTTGGACAGAATTTTGGTTGATTGAACCAAATAGCTAGACGATCGAAGGAGCAAGTTCAATTCATTCTCAAAGTCAGATACTTCGGAAAAACGATGCTTACCTGATATTCCATTGATGAGAATCAGCAGGAAAACAACAGTAATGTTGAAAGGACTCTTTATCCACATATTCAATGAAGTATGTCAAGTAGAAATGACTTCGTTCATGTTTTCCTCGACACTTATATCTTCCTTTCCTTTCCATTATTCATAGTGTATAGGTGTTTTAATGAATATGGTTTTGATTGATATTGTTTTTCTTCGTGCTCACAACAGCTTTGTAATCATCATGATTTGTCGATGAGAACACTTTTGAAGAAGAGGGTGCCGAAACCACTGCTCGCAAAAGGAAAAGACGATACAACCCGGCTGCATATGGAAAAAATACTAATAATAACCGCGGCCGACTCCAACGAGCGTAAAAGCCTATGGAACGGTATTATTATTATTATTATTATTTATTATATTACAAGCTCAATACTATGAGATTACAAGTCATGATTATTCACTCTCTTCGATTTAAAGTAATAATCCAAACTGAGCGGTATTCATTCCATGATTTTAACTGGCAAATAAAGCAGATTTCTACATATCAGTATATAAAAATATGTATTGATATGCCTGTCAAGTTTCAAAGAAAAAATTCTCTTATAGACGAATTTTGTTGGTAAACAATAGTATGCATTTTGTTAACCATCACAATGTAAAGGTATCTGCATGTCACGAGCGTAAATTTTACATTGGCATTCCCTTGGTTTCTTTGTTTATATGGCCTCGTTTCCGTTCGATAAGTATCAAACAGTTTAAGAGTCGTACTTTTCCAGTGAAAGTGTTTTTGGAGCATGTCGAGCGTGATGGTGTCGGTCCAATGTGCAGTTTACATCACAACTTGAATTAGACTGATCATGTCAAGAAAAGCTTAATCTTGCTACTGTACTCACGACATCTTAATAATATATTCGACTGTGTCATATTTTATTCAAATTAAAATGAATGTTTCACAAAACAATGTTCTTCGAGTACATATTATTAGATAGAATAATCGCGAATCTTCCCGACAAACAAGGTTTAATTTATCTATTCATTAGTTTTTGCCGGTCTTTTCTCCATGTAAAGAACGTAATTCTTGCAGTGAATGTCAACAATTACAGAGTACTATTAAAAGAAAATCAAAGTCTGATTGTCAAATGAAACTCATCCAGCAGAATAAATTTATGTCCTTTTAAGAAAAAAATTCCTCCGCAGTTTATAATGATCCGCGTGGTTTTTTTACTTTCTAACGGGCTTATAAACTCAGTCATATTCATATAATCATTTCACAACGTCATGTTTGACATGGAAGAAGCGTATACTATTGCTCATCTCCTGATGATCATCGCTGGTCTAATTATGTTAATCTTTGGGTCAATTGGTAATCTTCTGAACATCTATGTATTTACTCTTTGGTCTCGTTCTCGACAAGTCCTCAAAGATCAACATCAGAATACAAATCAAGCCAATAACAGTTCTTTGTACTTACTCGTATCATCGATCTCTAATTTAATAGTTCTTCTATATCCATTGGTCACTCGAATCATTTTCGACGGATTTAATTATTCAGTTTCACCAAATCAAGTGATTCTTCTATGTAAAATTCGATTCTTCGTTTTACACACTTTTGATTTGATGTCTTTAACATATTTTTGTATGGCTACCTTCGATCGATATTTAATAACATCCAGGAATGCTCATTTGAGAAATCTTAGCACCACCAAACACCACACAAAACAAATAATTCTGCTGATCTTTCTTTTCTTTTGTCTTCATAACATTCCTCTACTCATCTTCTTCGAAGTTTCATCAACCGGTGATTGCGATGTCAATTCAAATCAATATTCTTACTATTATTTATACGCTACTCAAATCTTTTTACACGGGATCTTTCCCATCGTATTTCTATCAATATTTGGCACACTAACCTTTCAGCATTTGAAACAACTACAAATTCACGTTCGAAGTCATTTGAATGTTGATAAACAATTGTCTCGAATGCTCGTGTTAATGTCAATTGCAATTGTTATCTCATCAATTCCATATTGCGTTGAGCAACTTTACTACGGAATGTTCGCTCATGGTAATCAACAACAATCCGGATTGATCTTTCTTTTGCATGTCATTTCATCAATTTTATTTTACGTAAATCCGGCTTCAAGTTTTTATATTTATTTCATTTCAACGCCACACCTCCGACACGAAGTACAAAGATTATTTTACCGTAGTAAACATCGTCCTCATTTTACGAACAATCAAATCCACACAATAACAGACCTTCATCAACCTCATTAAGAACAGCGCATTTTTTTTCTATCTTTGTAATTGTGAAGAACGAGACGGATTGAACTAATTATCGGAAAACATGAACGAGAGTCACAAGATCTTTGCGTGCCTTTGTATCTAGTTGTGTGAGAGAGAGATTTGTTCTTGTAACACTGGATGAAGTCAAATATAGATCACTTGAAAAAAATGTTAAAGTATCCGCTAAAAATAATTGTCTGCTGCTTAGTCCTGACACATGGCTAAGTGTCTCCTACAATCAGATATGCATTGTGGGTCCTGAAAAAGAATACATTTGATTGTTGTAAGGATCGTCAAGAAAAAAAAAGCAATGAATGAATGAAGAGACATAGTCGCAGCAACGTTTGTCGATAAAAACCTTGTTGATGCACGTTCGACGCTCATCATGTCCAATGAAGACAAATGGCTCGTTTTCTTATGAACCTGAACAATTCATCTATTTCCACAACCTGCCCTTTATTTAGCTGTTTCACATTGTGTTCAAGGATATAGTTATCATTGATACCATTACTTTTTCATTTTATGAGAAACAAAATGTCACGTCATCAATCCGATCTGTTCAAATGAAAATGAGTATGCGCAAGTGTCTAATTATGAGTAGTGTCAGTATCATCAATTTGAACCTGAATTTGTAAATTCGACTGAATTGAAATTAGATGATTGTATTGAGTCTTTGATCGAAATAAAGCATTTGCGACTGGATAAAGACTAGGTCTTTCAATTAATCAATTGAGAATTTCGACAAGATAACTAGTTAGATGATCGAAGACGAAGTGCTGTAAAACTTGTGATTAAGCAGAACAATTATGCGTTATATGTGAAGAGAAAAAAATGAATAGCGTACAAAACAATCAATTTTGTGGTTGTTGAGATATTCAATGAAGATGTACACTTGTTTCTTCAGTTTTTTTCTCTTCATGAGAGAACACAAATAAAAGTTACAGATTCTCAGTATTTTCCAACGTTTCTTTTATAGAGTCGGAGATGACGATGACTTGATGATAGAACTAGTTGTCAAATTTGCAGAGCGTATTTGAAAAACAAATGAGCCGCCGAATAATCGCCCGTTCTATGATACACTAAATCAACGTTGTTGCACGATGCAGCCAACGCAGAACGATTACTGAGAAGGAGCGATTGTCATTGAATTTGGAGAATCTGCTCATATGCTATACGTGCCTTTGAAAATCGTTCATTTCAAAATATATCAAACCAATGTTGCTGTAGGACGATACCATACCGGGACGCTTAGAAGGAAATGGCTTAAGTAGTATTTCGAGAGATTTTTTATACAGTACTATGAAGTCTTCATATTGACCTTGTTGATATATAATTAAGCCAAGTTGATTATGAATCCATGTCGTGCCGTTTTCATGAATTGTTTTATCGATCAGGTCTTTAACGACCTATTCAATAATATCCGTCTGTGCTATTCGAGTTAGCACACGAAATACATTGTGCATCGAAAACAGAACTTCTTTCTCTTCTCCAAACTGACTCACGTGTTCGACCAAAGCAAGTGGCATCGTTGATTTCTTAGGATTAATCTTCATCATAAAAAAAAGACGCTCACGACTTTATTATCTTTCCCATCAGTGTGATCACCTCACCATTCGTCATTCTCAATGCACGATTGAGGGTATCAAACAGAAATCTCTCTGTTGTATATCACCAGATGGGTGTATGATTGTGATGTTCATCTTCTAATCGTTTCACTTTCTTTTTATCGGTGTCATTGTCAACAAATATGTCACAGTAATAGTCTACGAATTCAATCATCATCAAAAGGATTTCTTTGATGATTTGTCTGTACATCAATGACGGATCCAAATGATCTAGTCTTTTGTCAGATGCCACGAAGCTCATTGGACTGCCATTGATCTGATATCGACGGTCGGTCGGTTGACAGATCTGTGTGATATCACTGGAGACATCTTTTACCTTCGACCATATTTTCATCGATTGCTCATGTTGATCTTTTCCATCACCAAGGATGTAAACTGAATTTATGCTTAGGACGTGCGTCGATGCACAATACAACATGCTGTACAAGTGATACTGAAATGATCAGACATACTTTTCAATCGATGTTGTCAAGAATGTAATTGATGCATCGATTATTGTCATTGAATATACTGATCTCGGGTAAAGTGTACTGGAGTTGTGTAGATATTCTTTGATGATCTTGATTATCATCGTCAACATAGTTATTCCACCACACAATAATAGTGCCTGATATTTGTCCAATGTTGCCAGTTACGGTTTATTTCTCAGTTGTGTTTATACCGTTCGTTGTTTTGTGTTAAAGATATAAATGTGTGAAATGTTCCAAGAACTCTGTGATCGAGACAACAAAACAGTAACATTACGTAACTTTCTTTGTATGAACGCAAACACTAGTGCAACAATAAATCCATTAGGTAAAAATCATTGGTCATGTATAATTGTATTTATATCATCTCTCAAATGATACTAACATTTTCAGAAGCGTTCATGTGATGAAACGTCAAGTCAACAAAGCGTGATTATTATTTCATTTTTTATAAGAAGATTGTCATTCTGATAGAGTGCTGACTTATCGCTATCATCATCTTCAGATTTGAAAGAGGTGAAAATATAAAATTCGACAATGCTGAGAAAATTAGTCGTCATTTTCTTGAAGCAAATGAACAAATTGGATTGGATACTCTGCTGATCTTATCTCATTCTATCCATATTATTGCAATTTTTAACTCAAACACAAATTTATAATGGTATTATAGGTCAACGTATTTTGTCAATCGAGAATGCTTGGGCTCACATAATATACTTAAAGAATTGCCAAAATACAAAATTTTTAACGATTTTTCATGAGTAAATCGTTCTCGTAATAGAAAACGCTCGATTCTTTTGCTGTGCAAAGAGATTTACACGCAGTAAACTTTTTCTCTTTATCCTATTCCAACACAGACGAAGATGAAAATAACTAAGTACACGTCTCGATCGGAGCAATGTTCCCGTTTTCTTATAGGAGAAACGCAAAAATTTCAATGTGACTCATGTTCCCCGTCCGTCATTGTAGTATATTCAGGAGAGAGAAAAACAACTATGACTCACGTGATATAAAAGCATAAAAACAGTAGGAAAAATATTATTACAGTGTTTTTATATCGTGAATAGAGCATTCGTATAGATATTTCTGTGTTTGCGAACATGTCGATCGCTGTAAGCTGTAATAATGAAATGCTCGTCGCAAGAATTATATGCGAAGCGATGATGATCGGTCTTATTGCTTTGGAACCAGTGAAAAATCCCTATTTAAAAGTATTCGTTCAACGTTTGCTCGCTGTCTTTATTTTGGACGAATTGGTTATTATGACAGAAGGATATATTCTGTATACGGATACGTATGCTGAATGGAAAGCAGTTTTCTGGCGAACACATGAGATTATTCGAGTATTTATTAGTCTGTCTTTATGTTATCCAATGTCGTTGTTTATCGGAGAAAACGGACAGAAAGTACAACGGTTTTTCGTGGTTATTTCGGGTTTAGTATTAATCGGAGGTTTTTTCGATCATTTGCAGTATAGAAATGGACATTCTGGAATGAACCACATCGCCTTTATGCTTATCTTTTTATTTACTTTTTATCAATACGTTCAGCTTCGTAGACAAACTCGAGGAGAAGTCCCACGACTGAAAAGTCTAATGGCTATAGAATCTATGTTAATTATTTTAAACCTGATATTAATAGCATTATTTCTTGCTCGTGGATATGAACAAAAAGCTCTGCCAACGATCAAAATTACCATGACAATATTACAGTACCATAAATTCTATATGATTATTTCGGTAATGACATATTTTGAGTGACCACCGTGTTATTGTTCTGTTCAAACTACTAATTAAAACTAAGTTTAACCGTTCGCACCATACGATAAAATGCATTACCAGATTGATCGGGAAATTTCTCGCTAAATGAGCATGCTCTCTTCTATCAGCAACTGTCAGATTACTATGTTTATTAAAAGACGATTTCATTGAGGATTCGATAGTTGATTCAAAATTGTTCCTGAAGTAATTACTACCAGCGGCGCCAGTATCAGAATTTGCACCTAATGCCTGAAAATGAACACAATTATCATTTACTATTTTTGCACCTAATGCCTGAAAATGAACACAATTATCATTTACTATTTTTGCACCTAGATCCAGGGTTTACGATTTGCGGGGGGAGCAGGAGGGGAATCCCCCCCCCCCTTCTAATTTTCCCTTGTATGCGACCTTTCTCTCTCTGAAGTTTTTCTCGTAATGTGTTTTAACGTTGAACTTGTATATGCATGAAAATGAAGACAATACCGATGATGAAAGTTGTTGAAGATCAACCCAATCATTTGTCAATACACCCGTTCTTTTGAAAGTAGACAAGAGTATATTTTTGTGCTGCACTTCTACGAAATAAGCTTAGCTTCATCATGATCATGATACAGCTTGATTAGTGCGCATCAATGTTATCGCAGATACTGATATCTACACTAGGTGGGTGAAAATGAAAACGCTTCGAATTGAGAGCTTCAGTATAGTTTTACAAAATGTATCGAGTTGTCTCTCTTTCGCCAAAGGAGACTTTCTCCCTCTTATGAAACGAAAGTGTTGTCTTCATCAAGTACATAGACGAATGGCGACTTTGATGGAGAAATAGGTGTAACGACAAACTGTTTGAGCAGCTAAGCGTTTCTGGCGGTATAGACGTTTATTGAGCTTACTCACGTATCCATAATGTGTCTGCTTCACAATAAGACACACGCTTATATAGAGAGAGGAAAACAGAAGGAGAGGATATCATTATCGTTACAGATAGTTCTCGAGAAGTTAAATCTAATTAGATATTTCTGTTTTTTTTATGTGAAACATGAATGAAAACTATTGTACGCTGAACTACTATTTCAGTCGAGGGTAATGCGAGCTAATGTCGACGAGCGTTGTGTATATTTTATTCACATAATAAAAATTTCCCTTGCACGGACTGAAAACAAAATTTTCCAACTCGGGTAGATTGGTCATTGAATCGACCTCGATTTGTGTTATCTTTCTACTAATATATGTTTTGTCATTCAAAGAAACTAAAGTTCATCGGAACTTTTTTCTAAACAACACAATTAAATTTGTAATCAAAGGAAGAGATAAAGGATTGTCAATAACGGAACAAAAGCTTATCATCGTTCGATCCACGGTACAGTCAGAACGTGAACAAATTTTATTCTTAATACGTTCTACACGAAGTCAACACGCTGTGAATCAGTCGTTGATGTAGACATTTTCTTTCGCGTCCCCCTTCCCAAGCTATTATGGTATAATTGTGCATGTATTTCCAAAGCAACTAGAATCAGACATCCGATGCCGATGCCGTTCTCTTTGATCATTTCCATTTCGAGTCATTAGAGGAACTGGGGATGGAGGAACAGTTCATCGTGGGACTCTTCATTCGGCCCTCTTGTACTTGGTAATCAGTTTGTCCAGTCATAGTTGACAGAAAATAAGCTTACCCAATGATTACTACTGAAATCGAAAAGAAAATACATCAGATGAACAAATATATCGAACATAAATGGAAAACTTGTTATCTAATTAATACTGGTATAGATGACNAATTTGACTCGTTATAATAGAAAATAGATTATTTACACTACCCATCGACTGTTTCTTTGTTTTATACCGAAAGGACATTCCAATAATGGAGGACATTTTTTCATAGGACCAAATGACAAAGGCCTATTTCTAAAGGACATTTTTTAAAAGGCCATTTACAACACAAGACATTTCCTAAAAGGACCAAAACTTGAGGACGTTTTCTAAAGGACATTTTCTAACGGACATTCTTGACGGATACCTATATCGCAGACTCAGAAAATAACCGAATTCTACGATGATATCAAGGAGACAAATAAGATGAAGTTCTTATTGATGAGAATGGTAAAGGAAGATGGGTGGGATATTTAAGTGAACCACATGATATACGATTCTATAGGCACGGAAATCTCATTGTTGCTGATACTGAGAATAATCGAGTGGAAAAATTCGAAGTAGATTGGGAATGAAATGATTAATATCGATTACAATAACTCGAGAAGGGTGATAATATTCGATTTTTGATATCTTTGTAGATATTGTTATCGTTGTTATAGCATTAAATAACATCGGACAAGGAAAAATATAAGAATACGAATTTTTCGAAAGACGTAAATCGTCTATTCATATGGAACGTAACAAATGGCTATAAGATTGTTAACGGTGGATGCAGTGCCATTGATGTATAGCATGTACGAATCCCATATGATCTTTGTTCATAAAAGTAGTTAGTTTATTTGGAGTTGATATCAATCTTCTCTAAGACAACGTGTCGGAATGTTCCTGTATGTGAATCATTCATTCCCGGGCTCAGTGACGTATTCACTTCGTCTTACCAAAACCCGCATCGTTCTGATACACGACCCACATTTGTCTAGTGAAGGAAAGAAAATTATCAACAACGATCGTACGTCAGCGCATATAGAACAACATCCATGGGAAAATACCAAACAACGTCGCTGAATATAAATACGCGTGATATATTGCTAATTTTCATCATCAGCAGATCAGAAATAATCACGACTGAAATGGCACAGATTGTTTATGACTGGGATGCTCCAAATTTGGAATCAGCAAATCGAGATATAATCCAAGTCATGTATCAACATCTTAAAAACTTCGCCGGCGGCATAATTACAAATGCAGCACAACAAGCCATTATGGAAGAATTAAAATTATGCGAAGCGTTCGTTAATTTTCACAAGCATATCGACGAAGGAGTCGTGCAAGTTGACGCCGAATTTGAAGGAATAATTAAAAAGAAAACATCAGTATTTCCTCTCGGACATGAATGGAAAGTTCGCTTTACTATCGATGCTGACATACCTCCTGAAGGCAGTCAACAAAGGAAGCATATTGGTTTTGAAATACATATTAAAACAAAACCCAAACAAGCAGGTCATGCTTGGTGTAATGTCCCGAAAGGAAGACCATGCTTAGGTACTAGCATGGATCAAGAAACAGCTGAGCGAGTAACCAAGACGTTTCCAAATCTCGATGAAATGACGTATTGGTACAATACGTATACATTAAAAAACTAATGGAACATCAACATGATCGGGAGTAGCCCTTATTCTCCTTCCATTAGAGAAACTTAACATGTAAAACGTGTGTGACATTCATCCAAAGTAAAGTAGTACGCAAATATACCAACCGAATCTAAATAAGAAATAAAGGATTAATCGATTGTCGAAACAAATGACTGAATGTAAAATCGTTGTTCTATACGTCATCTTCTATTGGACGGTGAAATATAGTGATGCTGTATTTCACCGATCACCATCTCTCGGTTGTGAACATTATCTTGATGACTATGAAATTCTCAAACAATTTCCGTTTCCCGTTTTAATTAATCCAGAAACAATTCATACGAATGAAAGTATTGCTACTATGTATCCGACAGAACGTGTTGTCAATTCACTGACGCTCGTCGAGCCAAATGGTGTTGTTCCTGAGAGTATCTTCTGCTTGAAAGAACTTAAATATTTAATCATCAAAAATATGGTCTTCAGCGATGGTGACAAACTTTCTTATTAGTCTCTATTAGTATCAAGTGTACGTTTTTCTTAGGTATAGTTCCGGATAGTCTGGCAGATCTACAAATATTACAACGTCTTGAAATAATCAACACGACGATTACTAAGATGACGAATCAATTAACGGTTTTAAAACATCTCTATTGGTTAATCTTGGTCAACTGTTCACTTCCGCAATTACCTAATCTGAGTAATTTGTCGAATGTCTGGCATATTGAACTTGATCGCAATCATCTATCGAAACTTGATGGATTAGACGGGGACATTCTCAGTTTGTCACTCTCGAACAATCTCTTCTCTGAAATACCGACTGTAAAAATCCCCGCATACGTCGAAGAACTTACCATGAATAATAATCCTTTACGAAATATCATCAAACTTGATTCGTTTATCAACTTAGAGCGAGTTGATCTTCACAATACAACTCTCACCTCCATTCCACCGACGATTAACAAACTGCAAAAACTTGAGCGTCTTGATTTATCTTACAACGACTTATTTTATCTACCATTCAATATTCTCGAATTAAATAAACTTAACACACTCTTCGTTAATAACAATTCATTCTCCGATCAAGAAATTGAAACAATCAAAACGTATTTTAATATGAGTCATCCAAATATCACTCTGTGTATTTAATAAGTATGTCATTTAACAACATAAATATCAACCAAACTGCCGATATTCATGTTCTATTAATCCTAAATTCATTTTTTGTACGACGTTCGAAAAGAGAAAAATAAATGACTGTCTACAGAATTCTTTTTCTGATATCATGTACATTGGTTACGTATACAACTACCAACGAATCACTCAAAATCGATTGTTCACGCTATGCAAATGACTATGAAGTGCTATTGGATTTTCCATTTCGTATTAGAATCAACCCGATGTTGCATTATCCAGCGAGCAATTCGGCGACTATGGACAGAACGAATACTTTTGTTTCTTCACTTTCACTAATCGATGGAAACACTCCTATTCCTGAAATTCTCTTTTGTTTGAAAAAACTGACCGGACTGACGATTGTAAATGGTGCTTTCTCAGATGGTAAGATGAAAACATGTTGTTTGGAGTTCAACTGAGTTTTCCTATTAGGCATTGTACCCGATAGTTTGGCAAATTTACAACAAGTGAACACCATTCAAATGTTGAACTCGTCGATTATGAATTTAACCAATCAATTTTCGTCTCTCATTCATCTCTATTCATTAACCTTGAATAATTGCTCGCTTTCCGAGATTCCCAGTCTGAGTAACATGCCGTATTTACGACATGTTTATCTTGACAATAATCGTCTGTCAAGAATCGAAGGATTTCGAACCGATGTGGATTGCTTACATGTTGCTGATAATCTCTTCACCGAAATACCATTTTTCAAAACTCCGACTAGTCTGGCAATTCTTCGGATGAACAATAATCCGTTGAAAGATATAAGTTCAATCGATTCTTTCACTTATCTCGCTATTCTGGAACTTCGAAATACAACACTGATATCGATTCCGAGCACGATTGACAAACTGCAAAGACTCTATCATTTGGATTTGTCTCATAACAAACTCGTTCATTTGCCACGAAGCATTTTCAAATTAAAATACCTTGCGGAACTTTATATTAATAACAATATGTTCTCCTCGGAAGAAATTCAAACACTACGAATGGAATTTAGCAAAACTCATCCGAACATGACTTTGCGTATCTAATTTCTTTGAAGCTACCAAATAAAAAGAAGTTCACTGAACTTAATGTAGCAAATGTCAACGTGTGTTATCTAATAGAATCGACCGATCATCTTCAGATAACTCTGCAGAATCTCGGTTGTTGGTGTAGATCAATTGGTTTTGGCGCATTAATGACTGAAGTAAATCCAGAACTTATAGCGTAGTTTCACAGAAAGTTTGCTTTGTTCATACATATAGTTGCGACCAATTATTAATCTACTATACTCATCATAATAATGTATAGAATTTGAAACAAGCTCGCCTTGTTCGCTAGTCAAATCCGATTGATCTCCGGCTAAAGGGTTCAATGTAGGTAACTAAAATTATATATGAAGGAAAAACTAGTCATAAACTGAACCTTGGCGAGCGTTTTCACACCGACCGCAGTTGATTGTTTTGTCACCGACTTGTTTTTGTTTGACTTTTGCAAACTTTCTCGAAATCTGACAGCTTCCATTCCACTTGCAAAACATTTCCTCAATTGACAAAAACCACAAAAATGTCGATTATTCACATCACAATTGCCATCCTAACGATATTGAAGTGTATCCAATAGAATAAAACCTGTCGAATGAAGAGACGAACAACGATCGTGCGAACTGACCTGTTTCTCGGCGTTTCTTCTGAAAAACATTTTGCACGATTTACATGCGATACATCCGTAAAAACAACAAGTAGCAGATTCTCCACAAATTTTACACTTACACTGCATGATTAATGATGTTCCTTGCAGATGCTTTTTTATTCTGTTGTCTATAGAATGCAAAAAGCTTTTCAAAAGGAATCTAACTATTATTTCATTCATAAGCTCTGGTTTCATTGCGAACTTAAACTTTCTTTTATCTTTTAGTAGCACATTTTCTAAAGAAGATAGAAGAGAAAAGAAATAACACAATATCATTTTTTCCTCTCGTTCTGTGACTGTGCACCGACGTTTGGATATATAGTAGAAAGGCGCAGACAATACCTCGCTCTATAGAAGAAGAACAAATAAGTTCACCCATTGAACTTGTCTTATTCTGTGGAAGAGCAGGCGCTTTTCTTTCGATCATAATAGTTCTTCTTATGAATCAGCATCCTGTTAACGAGGAATTTATAGGCATTTAACTTTTTTTTCGGTACTTTAAAAATTTCAATAGCTGACGACTACGATCATGGTGTATATTGAGATAAACACTTGCAAAAACGCATTTGTTCTTGATAAAAAAAAACAGAAATACATGGTATACAACATCTAGTCTTCGACAGTTAGAACATCTTTTGTTTGTTGAGTTAAAGAATCAATTGTATTTGTGTACCATTTAACTTCCTCAGCTTTTCTTACACCATCGTGTATAACAAATAAAAATCGTAACAGATCGGAAAAATACTTCACTGTCCACTCAAATTTGTAAGTGTAGACTAAGTATCGCCATGCTAAGTCAACGTATTTGTCTTGAATTTTTAGGATTCGGGCGATGTTCGATAGATTTCGAGGAGGTTCGTCTCGATAGACCGTGTATTGCACAGTTGAGAAGGAGATGATTGCGAACAACAATTTCATGATAATACTATCCGGAACTATACGATGAGCAACTTGTTGAACAGTTGGAATGTAACTTGGATGACTAATCAGTCCGACAGCCTCGAGAAAAACAGGTAAATCATTGAGACCGATTTGAGAATGAACAAAGTTCACAGAACTTGTTGTTGTGTAGACAAGAGTGTTATCCAATAGAAGTGCACGATCATTTTCCGATAGATCAATGAAATCTCGATTATTGATGTACAGAAGAGGATTCTGACGCATTAGTGAAGTGATTAACTCAATCACTGTTACGGGCTTATAGCGTAGTTTAACAGGAAGTTTGTTTTGTTCATGCAGGTAATTTCGACCAATTAATAACCCACTGTATTCGTCATAACATTGTAACAAATTCGAAAGAAGTTTCCATTGATCGCTGGTCAAATCTGATTGATCTGCTGCCAGTAGATTTAAAGTTGGCAGCTGAAATTATAGATAAAAACAGATTCATCATTCACTGAAGATTAGGAATGTGTCGAACCTTTTCAGGCGTTTTAAGTGTGATTATATTCGAGTTTTGTGCAATCAATTTGTTCTGCTTTGAGTTCTTCCAAGGCTCTCGAAATCTGGCTGTATCCATACCGTTCTCCAGGCATTTCTTCAATCGACAACATGTACAAATATGTCCATTACTAATATTTATAATATGACAATTATTCCCATACAAACATCGACGTATTCTCTAAAAACAAACACAATTTCTCCGAGCAATGCAACGCGTCAACTAACCTGTTTCTCGGCGTTTCGTTTAAAGAATGTTTTGCATGATTTACATGCGATGCATCCATAATAAACACCTTGTGCTGGTGCTTCACATATTTTACACCTAGATATCATTGTTGAAGTTTTCTTTGAAAAAAAAATAATGAAATTTTTCAACTACAACAATGTTGGTGGTCTCCCTTTTATGAAATCTAGATGTGTATTGAAGTTTGAGCAGCTTCTAGCTAGCGGAAACAAATTTTAGTTAAAAGAAAATGCAAACGGACGGTGGAATGGAGAAGAAAGAGGAAGACATCTTTCTCTTCTCGCTCTCTATTTGAAAAAGAGAAAAAACACTTCCTGTTATAGAATATAAGAAGAAACAGACTAATTTGAGTGTAATCTTTTTTGCTGGCAGGGAAGAATACGTGTTGTTCTTCTGGATTGATCGACCTTTGAAATTATGATGACACGTTCATCATTACGAACCGCATTCAAATCTTGTTGTGTACTTTCACACTGATAAATCTGCCTGATTTCGTCCTATAAGATGCAAAATCTAATTTTCTACAAAGATCGTATGCTTTTATTTATCTAAACGATTTCCATCGTTTTTAAAAACTTACAACATTCAGGCACTACATCGGATCGAATTTGTAGTCGAAGCCGCTTTTAATCCTTTAATCAAGTCTTTCTCTGCTATGACTCGATTCTATTCATTTACGTTAGCCAGTGGATCTTGTATGCGGACCATCTATTGTCCAACGATCTTTGTTTACAAAAGCTGGAAAATGACCGAGAATGTGATTTCTTTCGAACGTGCGCCAAGCCACATCATAATAAATTCGATGAATACTTATTCGAAAAGCTTTGAGATTATTAAATAATAATTATCGAACTGTAATTCTCTTTTTGGAATAGTACGGACGAGAGTCGATCTGGAAATGATGAAGCATTGACGGAACCCGTTTTGCTTATCATATTGTACCATCTTTTGGCTGTTTTTGAACAAGGTCCTTCGCTTAAATCTCGACAGTTTTTGGTTGAACTGCCAATATTCTGTTAATCTTTACTTTTCATTATCCAAAGAATTTAAATGAATTTTCACCTTTGATAGGTATTGTATAATCGATAGACAATCAAATTCTACATCTTTAAAAAAAAAGCAGGTCGACACAAGCAATCTCTATTGAGATATTAAAACAACACGTCGAAGTACATAACCATTAAAACACTGGTTATTTTCGAGATCAAATCAATGCACGATTCAGAAGATAAGCAATTGACTTCCTAATTAGCCTTAGAATCATACAGGATTTTTACAAATTCAGAATTAGTTATTCCCTAATTTACACCCTCTATCTTTGAGAAAGCTTTGCGAACATACTTTTCAATTTAACAGCTTCATTCTATTAGTGTTAATGCACTCTATGAAAAGCAAAATAAAAAAGACCGATAATTGATAATTGAAGGCAATGTAGCAGCTATAGTTTGAAGTGCAAGTCATTTATTTTTACTCTCCTTCGTCCGTATAAAATATATTCGAATATACATAAAGTGTGATTTAAAGCATATTGCCAAGGAAAATCTCATTGGTTACTTGATCAGGTTCGATACGATTTTGTCGAAATCGATTCATACAGATATCACAAAGAACATATTTCGCCTGTCGACGGAATCGTTGTGATACACAAATGTATGTGTAAAATGAACTCTGCAATATATACAAAAACAAGTTCGATTATCTTCTCAACGAAAGACATTACCCCATTCGTCAAAATGTTGATAGTAAGTGTGACAGCATTGATGAGATTGAGTTGAGCGAGAGTAACAGGATCACGATTTGTATTTAGTTGTAAAAATCCACTGGTAATCGAATAAGGTAAGTAAGTACAAACATAAACAGTAATTTCTACTAAAACCATCACTGTCAATTGTTTGTCTAATTCACGTCTAACTAGAGGATGCGTTCGTGTCGTCAATGTTCGTGCATTTCGATAAGACAATATGCCAAAAATAACAGCTATTAATGGGAAAAGATTGCTTAATGTTAGAAAATATCCGTAAACATGATATTGAAGAAAAATTGGATCGACTGGAATACAAACAGCGGTATTTATTGGTGACATTTGTCGCAAATAGATCATATACAATACACCATTTGCTGTCCAAATTGTCGAAATGATAATTGTCAAGCGATAAGCTATTTTAATATTTGACCATTTCTGCCATCGTGGTCGAGTACAAGTCGCGAAATACTGATCAATTATTGCTAAACACAGCATTGTCACGGCACTGATGACACATGTGGCCACGATCAGATTTCTTATTTGACAGTAGAAAACGATAGCCGACGTCCAGTTGATCGTAAATGCCATTGAAATAGTGACAAGTGATGTGCTGAATACTAATCGAATGAGATTGAAGACGGACATGATCAGAAGATAAAATGCGCATGAACTTCGTCGAAAAGTTTTCAGACTGAGAAAAACAATGATGCTGAACAGTTCACTGAATAGACAGATAAACCAGATCGGAATGGAAACGTAGAGAGCAAATTTCATTCTTGCATAATAAAGTGATGCGATGTATTCTGTGCTCATTCTGTTCAGTGATAAAACAAATGAAGAGTTACATCAAATGAATTCTTATTCTTCAGCAAGAAGATGTTTACACGTCAAGAGAGAAGAAGAAAAGCTTTTGGTGTTATCCTTTTTGTCGAGAGCATTTGTTGAAAAAAAAAGAAAGTTTTTTTTTTCTTTTTTGAGTCTACTTAACATAATTCAAAATGACGCACTTAATTGTGGAAAATCTTTGCAATATACTGGTGACACAGAATGTTAATTAAGAGTAAAAATAACTTTTTGTAACTAGTACATCTCTGATGTTGTGTTGACGTTGAATTAAAGAATAAAATTAGTCAAATACAAAAACTGAATTCACCTTTTCTGTCGTATGCTTATCGCTTTTTATATCTTATCCATACTTTGAGAGTAATAAAATAAAAAGTATTCTTTCGCTACGATCTCCATAAACCATTGTGTTGCAACAAAAACAGAGTCATGAGATTTTAGCGTATCATCGGTTACTCATATTTTAGATTCAAATCGAATAGTGTCGTCGAATCTTTCTTACGTGAAATGGGTGCGAGTAAGTCGATTCTAATAAACTTAAATATGACTAAGAAATACGTGTATGTCAGGTAATTCTAACAATGTCTCTTCGTCTTACGAAGCTCAATTTCAAGTTCATGCAGTTGTAGAAGATTTATATAAACAGTTGAGAAAAACGGATATGCAGTCGTTTCTTTCGTGGCAAACGTTAAATAAAAAAATGATGGATATATTAGTACCCATGGCGGCAGTAACGCCATCACGATCACTTGCTGGTCCATCCATCGGTCTCATCGGACGTTCGGGCACAGGTAAAAGTACTCTTATTAATACGCTTTTAGGGTGTAACGTAGCCAAAGTGGGTGTTGGTGAAGTAACAAAGCAAACCCAGACATATAAAGCAAAAGATTTCTATATCTACGATACGCCGGGACTCGATGATATCAGTACAAATTTTACTAAAGACAATATTAGCTTTTGGAAAGGCCTAAATATACGGATTGTTGTAATCACCACATCGGTTACCGAATTAGCTCAAATACTTCGTCTATTCGATGACATTGGCTTGAGTTATGATATTGTAGTTAATAAAATGGACCTTGTGGAATTAAAATCTCAACAGATTTTTAAGATCTATATAAGAGATCAGATCAGAATTCATAGGTTAAAATGTTTGAGAAATGTTTGGTTTGTCAACGCTTTAAACCCGGCCCAATATCCTGATTGGCAAGAATTGATTTCCTATATAATGCCACAAGGTAGGAGATCACAATTTTGATAATATTCACTGACGTGAGAAAAATCTTTCTTTCTAATAGAAAAACCGTGTGAAAATATCATTGAAGAAACAAATTCTACAACATCCGAAAAAGCATCAACAGGTGATCAGATTCGAACACCGTTTCTGTATTTCCTTTACGATAAAAGCTTATGCCAAGAGGATAAGAAATATTTGTCCAATGCTTTTCTGTCTGAACAACACTGCTTTCTTGAAATTGCACATTTCGGTTCGTTTCCACCAATGGCTTCTCAAGCTTCATATTTTATTACCTATATTTCGTCACAACCACCAAGAATACCTAAAGATACCATTGGTAAGATTTACTATTTGAACTCCGAATGCAAGCAAAACGATTCGTTGCAATGCGTTACTTGCGTCAATAGTGTAAATAATTTAATACGCAGACTGTACCATGATCTTGCTGTCTTCTATCGAGAAGAAGCTGTACACATCCGCGAGAATGAGGGTGATCATCTATCCATCGAAATGCTTCTCTCGAAATCGATAACGTGCTACGAGATGTTCCAATTAGAAACGAAACGAGCTGTAATTTGATTCGACAGTCGATGTGATTTTTGGACACTTGTGATAGGATGTGAATGCATCTACTGTTTATACACACAGTTTATGAGGCTTCATTTTTTTACTTAACAAATAACTTAATAAAGAATAACTATTGTTCATCATGACAGTGCTATTTGACAAAAACAACTTCAATCGTTTTTCTTCTGTTCTAGATTGGTAAAAACTTCTAATGGTGAGTTTATAATATGTTTCCTATTTTTCGCTTCACTTATTCTTCTTTGTTATAAGAGTGTGAAATTGGGTTCATCATATCCGTCAGACCTCTTTGATGATGAATACCTTATTCGGATTATTGATCCGAACGAATCGATCCAACATCCAACAGATAGTTTAGGACCTTACTATACCGTTGTTAAAATCCATTCTGATGTAGCAACCTGGCGTGAGGAAATAGAAAATGCTAGAAGTCGGAGATTTGCTGTTATCGTCGTACTACCCACCCAAACATATGCCGAAATCGTAGACTTTATTCAAAAAAACATACATAATCGTCCAGGCGTAGACACTTATTTCATACTATCGGACAATGGCTGCTACTACAAACAGCGATTGTGTACAAGATTCTATCCTCAACTGAAATGGTCGCGTTCAATTCAAGGCGCATGCCAAACGCACATTCAATCCGCTTGCTGCACCGCTAGCGATCTTTATATTAACCATTATCTAGATCAAGAGATGAAGAGTATACATGAGGGTGACAAAAACAAGGCCAGATGGTTCCGCTCACAACAAATCGCTAGAGCTGAGCTACAAAGATTATACAATCAACAGTTCATGAGCCATTCCGACGACAACACACAGGAACATGAGCACGGATGAATTCCGGCGGAAAATGCTATTCAGAAGTTTTTTCAAATAACTGCTAGCTTGATCAGTTTATGAATAAACAATTTTTTGTTTATAGACACTTAGCTACGAAATATATTAATAGACTGTTACGTTTAGTTGAGGAGTAACACGTGCGTTACAAATGAGTCAATCTGTTAATGATTTACGAATACCTTGAGAATGAAAAACAAAACAAGTGATCAAGGTAGAAAGAGAAAATATAAGGATGACTGAATATTCAAACTGCGCATTTTCATAACGATGGTGTATATTCCGGCAACTATACTTGGTCGAGGCGTATTAGCTTCAATAATTGCCTTATATATTTTTTTGCTGATTCTAAATTTAGTTTCGTTTGGCGGACTCCAATGGATTATGTATACAGATTATAATCTGCAGTTTGGTCTGTGGCGTGTTTGTTATGGAGCAGCATCTGCAACACGCACATGTAGTCAATGGTCGAGTGATTCGAATGTAGTCGATTCTGCTACGAATGTTGTGATTTTCAGCGGAAAACCGGGTTTTATTCAAGCTGCTCAAGGTCTCGAGATTACTTCTATTATTCTGTATATTATCGCTGGAGTATTGATCATTCTTGGTATTATCGATCTCGCAGTCATGCCGCTGGAAACCATGTTTTTAGCTGCAGCTGCACTTCTCTTTCTCACCAGTGAGTACATTTTATGGTTCAAATCTAATGTTCTTTTCTCTTTCCTTTCGTAGTTATCTTCTTATCGGCAGCATTAGGTGTAATGAGTGCTCAAGGCCGTAGTAATCATCCCGGTGCATATCTAGATTGGGCTTGGTGGATCGGCCTTCTTGGATTAATCGTCACCATAATCTGTGTAGTGCTCATAATTGTCTTCGTTCTTGATATATATCAAACCAATACACCTAAAATGAACAACGGTAACGGTTTCACTCCAGGACGACAAAACTGGAGTGGTTTTGCACCAATGATAGCTGGAAATTTGGTATATCCACCACCTTACTCTTTGTATCCATCTTATAACCAATGGCCAACGGGTTATCCAGCTCCGGCACCGGTGTTACCACCTCCGCAATTCTATCCAAACTATCCGTACCCTAGCTATGGTGGTATGTTCGAACCACCAGCGTCGCCACTGCTCGCGTCCTTAGCTCGTCAACAACTTGCTAATATAGGACGATTTTAATACTCGGATGAATAAAAAAGTTTCATCTAAACCAACGTTCATTTTCTTTTTTTTTCGATTCTTGTAAATAATTGATCAATGTATTAGACTTAGTAATGCACATTTTCATGTAGCAAAACGACGAAAGAATGACTACACCTCCAATCCTACGACCAGCCATCCTCAATCAAATCTTGAGACGAAGTATATGATTATTTTCCAAGTACGTATTTAATATGAAATTTATCGGTACTGAAGACACTTGAAAAAATTATCGTACTTTGACTAAACAGAATATAAAAGTAAAAAACGTATGTATGGGACAAACTTGTTGAATATCTGCTGATTTACAGAGACCAAAATCTCGACAACGAAAAATAAAGTATTCTAATTATCCTTCATTGTTAAGAACCTGGTTGTGTAGGAACAACGAGTCATCTATACATTTGATGAGGGTCGGTATGTCTTGTAACTGTTTCTCTGAAGGATTTAAACAAAGTAAAAATAACAACTAATCCTTGTGCGTGATATTTACATGAGAAGTACCTTGAAAGGCAAAATAAAGATAAAACAACCGAGAGCAGAAGAAAGAGAGGAAAAGAATAGAAAGAGCACGAGCCATCTTTTATCTTTACAATATGTTAAGAAAAAGTGTGTTATCAAAAGTTTTAAATACGACAAATAAATTTCAAGTCTAAAGAGAACTATCAAGAGAATTTGCATACAAACATGGACGCCAACGACGATATTGAGATGAATAATGTAATCAGTACAGATGTCCCATACCTTAGTGAAAACAACAATGCCAACAATACGGATGACAAAGATGCTGTTGAAATGAAAGCTGTTAGTAATACAAATATGGAGACTACTGTAGGATGGACTGATCAATCCGTCGATAGAGAGCCAACAGAAGAGGAAATGATATCGTTAGAACATGTTTCTGATCGAATACCCATTGGAGCTTGGTTGATTGTCGTCTGTGAATTGTGTGAACGTTTTGCTTTCTATGGTCTTTCAGGTCCTTTTCAAAACTATATACAATTTCCCCCAGCGAGTGAAAACAGCACCCAACCAGGTGCGCTCAATCGTGGTCAACAGACTGCTACCGCTTTAACGACATATTTCCAGTTTTTTGCGTATCTCACACCGATCGCTGGTGCTATTCTTGCTGATCAATTTTGGGGCAAATATAAAACGATTATGGTGGCCTGTTGTATCTATATGGTTGGACTGCTGGTGCTTGTCTTATCGAGTATACCGCCATCGCTTAACGCCGGTGTTGCTTTTCCAGGTTTAATCGTTGCTATGACTATTATCGGCATGGGAACTGGTGGTGTGAAAAGTAATGTTAGTCCGCTGATGGCCGAACAGTACACTGTGACGAAGGCCGTGGTCAAAGGTACTTGATTTACGGATTGAATGAAGATCGATTTGATGATTTTACTTTCTAGACATTAAAGGCAAAAGGAAAATTGTTGATCCGAAAGTGTAAGTTGTTGGAAATGATCTCTTTATCTTTATAATACATGCAGTATCTATTTTTCAGTACGGTACAGTCGATGTTCAATTGGTTTTATTGGGCTATCAATATTGGTGCGATCTCCTCAATAGCCACGACAAATATTGAAAAATACTATTCATTTTGGCTTGCTTATCTCGTACCTTTGGTCGTTTTCACTGGTTCTATCGTTGTTCTAATACTTGGTCGTAAGCGATACATTCTCTCACCACCAATGGGTTCATTACTACTTCGTGCGGGTCGTGTCGTGATCAAAGCCATTCGAATGCGATCAAAGTTAGGTAAACAACCCGATCGGTCCGGTCTGTTAGATTATGCCAAAGAGTATCCAGCATCGCCGATACAAGATGAAGAACAAAAACTAGCATTGGCAAAAGAAAACCAATTTATTGATGATCTCAAACAAGCAGCACGAGCTTGTCGTGTCTTTCTCTTCTATCCTTTCTATTGGATTTGCTACAATCAATTGGGAACTAATTTAGTATCACAAGCAGCACAAATGAATGTTGGTAAGTCGGTTTTAATCATCCAATTTCTCATGAGAACCATATTTATTTCCTTAGGTCCTCTACCCAATGATGTCTTACAGAATATTGATCCAATCGTACTGATTGCTTTCATTCCAATCTTCGATAAAGTGATCTATCCATCTTTACGACGATTTAAAATTAATTTTCCATCCATTCCTCGTATCACATGTGGATTCATCTGTGTTTCGATTGCCATGGCATGGTCAGCGTTTGTTCAACATCAAATCTATCAGACTGGACCCAATTTTAACTATGCTGTGAAACCATGTGACGGATGTCAGAAATACAACAATATAATCGTTGCTTGGCAAATCCCATCGTATTTTTTTATTGCTATCTCGGAGATCTTTGCTTCCATCACCGGTCTCGAATACGCCTTTACCCAAGCACCTGCGTCTATGAAATCAATCGTCATGTCTCTTTTTCTCTTCACGTCAGCCATTGGTAGTGCGTTGGGTTTTGCACTTGTACCAGTAACTGTCAATCCCAAACTACTGTGGATGTACGCATCCTTATCGATCATGTCATTTACCGTTGGAATCATATTCTTTCTTGTCTTTCGTAATGAAGGCAAAGTGCGTGTATCGCCAGCGTCGATAGACTAGAACCAACAAACCAGTCTTTAATTTCATACGTAGTGAATATCAAACGAATAGAACATTTTCCAGATTAAGTCTTTATTTTATCATTTGTTAATAGTTTATTTGAATCTTTATTTTTGGTATTATGCATGATTCTATACGCTTATTAAATGTAATAAAGATCATTATAAATTTGTTTTATAGAAAAGATACTCCCGTCGGTTACGCTTCCCACTTAGGTTTATCAATTGACTTTATCATTTGAAGAATGAGAAGTCTCGCTATCGAGCCAAGAATAGCGATTACAAAGACACTTACTCTAACCTTCTTTTGTTTCTAGTCTATTCCGGAATTACACAGTTGGCTTATACGGATGAATATCGGTAGATATCGTATTTCATATTTGAAAGTATGAAACATTCGGAGGAGTTTTCGATATTTTCGCATGATGCCAATCAGTGAAAAATATCGACGGCCAATACGATCATTTTGAATTTCACCAAGAAGAATCTTGTTGAGCATTGAAATCTATCAGTTATATAGTATAGGACTACGTTATACTATACGGTATGTATGCACTACTGACAAAGTTTACTCGAAATCGATCTACGACATAGAAATGTTCGTTAAGTATCTAAATTCTTTGATGATCACTTATGTGAAGCTTGCTACTGAAACAAAATTAGAACGATAGTTTTGTTGTATCTTTAATAATAAATATTGGTCAAATTGGTATTTGAATAGGAAAAGAATATTTTCATTAGTGCATGCGATTACGTATCACAACAAATGAATAAAGCATTGTTCTCTGAAAATTACGCCGATAAAGATGGTTTCACAGGCTTGATTCGATTATTGTTTCCTTGTCGTCGAAAGCAGTGTCTAACTTTCCTATATTTCCATAATTTAAAGCAAATTTTAACTAGTAGAGGAATAACTATCGGCAATGCTTTGAGTGAACCGCTCAAAATACTACACGTTATCGCCATTACATAAGATAATTGAAACTTTTTTATAACTGCGTAATGACATTCTTTTGGTTGACATTTGTCGTAATATGATGAATAAGTAATATTAACAGACCATTCTGCAACAAACAATATGTCTATTAATTCTTGCACTGTTGAATTCGCTCGGTACAAAGATGAATTTGATGGTTCGTCAAACTTGCCTGCCGATATGTTGTATTGTGAAAACATATGAATTCTTAGTAATTCAAGACAGTTGATATTGAAAAAACATTCAAGTGTGGATTGAAGGAGACCGTCAATGAGATAACAACTAAGATACATTCCAGGCACAGGGATTTTCGTTCTTGGAAAATATAGTTGCTTTTTATAGAATTTCGATGGTATTTGACACGAATACGTTTGATTACGATATTTCTTCCATTTCTTATTTATGTATAGAATGTCTGATATGTACGGCATTCCACTTTGATTATTTGGCGTTCGGATCAGATCCCATTCGTAATTTGTTTGAACTGCAGGTAATAGGCTATTTGAGGATATCATTGCACGACTTACTTCTATTAGATGTTTGTATTGCGATGCAAGTAACTGTATAAATCGGTCTACTTGTAGTTCGAGATCTTTCTCGAAGTGCTTTTTGTCAGTTAAAAATGATGTTGTATAGAATGTAGATAGAAAACGTTCAATTCTCGCCTGAGCAAAAGTTCTGGCAATAAAGCAGAGATTTTTTGTGAACTGTAAATAGTACACAAAAATCAAAGGTAAATTTTCTTCAATGGGTACATTTGTAAGACTTATTTGTAGTCCTATCCATCTTGGATCAAATAAGGGACTAACATCGACTGGATGCAATGCTTTAGATGCAATTGAGATGAAATTCGAATATTCATTACTGATGATCGTGCATGGACAAGATAATGAACTCGCCCGAAACTGAACTGATAAGTTTTGATAGTCAGAGTACGATGACACAGAGAATCTTCTCATTTCCACATTATAGCGTAAAGATGTGTAAAGAATAAGTGCAGTTGTAAAGAAAAATAAGAAAATGATGTAGACGCGCGTTGACAAAAGCTGTTGTTTCAATTGTAACTGCTTTTCACATTCTAATACCGGTACAGATGGTGGCCGTTTGGATAAAGGTTTGAATAAATTGAAATTTTTAGCGAATCTAGTCATCCTTAAACATAGTATGTCCAGCCGAACGTCAGAACCTTTGAATAGAAGAAAAATTTATATGATTTTCCTCCCCATCGATAATAAAAATATCAAAGTTCAGAAAAGCTGTAGAGTTAGTATTTACTTGTATGCTCATATGCATGTATTAGTTTCATGCCGTTTCAAAATACCATGATATTTATTCTATACTTAGCTAGAATACTACAGAAGGCAATTAGGGAGGTGAAACTTTCCAAATAACATTGTACCATAAAATATACTAAGCATATGTTATAAAAAGATGAATCGAATAGCGTTTTTTTCTGAACAGAACTGCGGTCACGTTCCGAATGCTTCAAGATCGTTTTATGTGATATGAAGGAATAATACTTTTAGATAAGTCGTAAACGTACTTATGTCATCTTGATTCTGATCATCTTCATATCTTATCTTGATCCATAGTTTTCTTATTAATTTCACTGAATATGGTACAATTAATCTTAGTGACCAAGATAAACCACCGATAACACCCAGAATTATTGAAATAACATAAGTAATCAAAAATCGTTTTACATATGTATAAGTACATTGCTTTGGTTTACATTTTTCATAATATTGCTCATAACTAATGATTATTTGCCAATGCTCGATCATTGACTCTTGGATTAATTCAATAATTCTCGTTGTTGAATTGAATATCGATGGAGGCGAATGTTCTTTTAGTACAGTGATATTCAATTCAAACGTCGGTCGAAGATAGTATATTAATCCAGATAAACATGACTTATTATACAGACAGACTAAAGTAGACGGTAACGTACCAAAATATGGATAACATCCGCCGAAAATTCCTGGTACAGGCCAAAAAGATCCATATACACTAGTCTTATTTGGCTCAAGAGCTGCAATGGTCGCAGGGATAAAGCAGCGTCTGTATTGGAGTATACATAAACATTTATCAGCATAGGAAAATCCCATATGCACTGACCATGGAGGGTATCGCAGATATGGCGAATAGTTTATTTGCATGTAGGAATATAGAGAGTTCCATTGTATCATTTCTGCAAACATTTCCATTGATAAAGCGTTCGTCAGATGTTGATCAAGTTTGAATAATTCGACAGTATGACTTTGTTGTGCAACAAAAACTGTCCTTCGTACGACTTCTTTTGTAATATAAGTGGATAATTTCAGATTGTTTAACTTGGTTTGAACGTTTTCCTGGCTCAACTTGCAAAATGCTTCAAGCATACGAAAGACAGCTGGTCCGATAGCTGTCGGAAAATCATCTGCAGTATAAAGAATTCCTGATGAAACATTCTCAGCACGACTAATTAAATATTGGTACCATATGTCTGTTATATAGACACTTGAACAGATTTGGTGATATTTAGGTGTTATTTCGATAAATGTTTGTAAATCAATAGAAATCTGTGTACATTCACACGTAAGAGTATCAGCATGGTGAACATTTAGATGTTCATATTCTTTGATAGATGGCGAAGACACTGTAATTGTGACTTTTTGTGGCAGGACTGCTGTATAGATTGTTAGGAGAATGAGTGAGACAAGAAAAACGAAAATATAAATATACGTTGAAATAATTTCAAGATAAACTACTTCGAAATCGGTGGATGGTGGAGTCGATTTAAATAAGTTAACGGATTTGAGTTGTCCAACCAACCAACGGCGCTTGGAAATCTCTAAAAGAAGCACAAAATAGAACAAGATCAATGTGAACTATAGAAATTCACTCCGAGTTATCATCTATTTGCACAAATTTTAAGCAAAATTACATCGTATAGAAAATAGAGAAGCAATCATTTTATACTTTAATATTTTAGTTTCTGTCAGTGGAATAAATATCATTAAATCCAAAGCTCAAGAACAGAATCTACACTTCTCAGTCTATCGAATTCCAACAGTTCTTTTCACTTTTCTATGGAAAAGATTAGTTATTGATTTACCAGCAAATCGAAAACTTACTTTCATTAGTATCATTTCTTCTTTTTCTAATCAGTTTTACAACATTTGGCACTAACACTCGAAAGATAGTTACCAAACCACCAATAGCACTCCACAATGTTGTAATCACATAAGATATAACAAATCGATGTTCATATGTATATATGCATTGGAATGGTTGACAAAGGTCATAGTATTTGTGAAAATAAGTAGTTGTGTTCCATTCGTTAATCATTAGATGACTTGCAAGTTCGTAGACTGTTTGATTTATTTTTGAGAATGATCGTGACAAATTAATCGTAGTGATAGATAATGAAGAATTGAGATGAAATGTTAATTCTTTGATACATGTTTGGTTATAGAAACATATGAGACTTGAGTCAAGTAAAGAATCAACTATGAAACAGCCTGTGTAAAAGTTTGGAATTGTAAAGAGAATGCTAGAAGTTTGTAAATCTCGAATTTCATATTCTTGAATACATTTGAAAAAAAAACATCGGCAATTCGTATGTGTTTTCTTATCATAATATTTCCTATCACGATAATATGTAAGCAAATTCTCTACGTCTGACGTAACAACTGATGGTATATTTCTGTAGTGAACAATATTCGTAGATAATGTGGATACCAAGCCTTGCGAATGTATAAAATCAGAAAATATTCGAATTAATTGTACAAAATTGACTTCTTCTGTCTCAATCAATTTATCAACATATGAACGAATTTCTTCTTGAAATATATCATTACCCTTTAAATGATAACTGATATACGATCGAGACTTGAATTGCTGTTGAACAAATTGATCGATATTTGTTTCAGCAAATTTACATAAATGTTGAAGAAATTGAAACGAATAAACTGCTGTTCGACGAAAATCGATGACACTTAGATGAGGTAATTGACTTATATTGCTTAGAAAGTCAAGCCATTGATCACTTATGAAGTCTGACGTGCAAACAGGATGATAGTGCGGCTGCAAATCGACAAATTCATCAAAAGTGATCGAAGTTTGTTTGCATTGACATTGAAGATTATGTTGTTCATATATGAGTTTTTGATATTGATGATAGAAGGGTTGTTTGATAACGATTGTTTCTGTAATGGGTACAGTCAATGTATAGATCAAAAGGCCAAACACGGACACTACTAATAAGATTAAATATATACGTGTTGAAAGCGTTTGATTATGCAGTTCATGTGTATCTTCGTCTTCTTCAGTTGAAAAGAAATTTAATTCACTCAAAGAGATTCTGGTTTGATGCAAATAACGCTTTGACAAGGTCCGTAGATTCATTGAGACTTGTTCGCTTTCAACAGCAGTAAATATATATGTATTTCATAAATTGCAATGCACTCGTTATTTAACAGCCTGAAAAAGACGTAAATAAAAAATGCCTCGAACCTTCTTATTTTTTTACATTGATTGTGTACTAAATGATCAATAAAGACAACTTTTATGTGCCACGTGCAAGTGGTTGGAAATAGATAGGACGTGGGTACTGTTTTAGATGAAGGAAGTAAGATATGTAAACATTGATGAGTGGACGAATTATACTTACGCGCTCATTTCAGTTCACACACATTCGTGAGATACCAGAAGCTAAGTTTTAATTTATATACATTTACATATTTGCGCTTTTCTATACAATCAAGTCTTTCCTATGTACATTTTCTAACGTTCATTTAGATATCTCAATACAAAAGGTTTGTGATCCTTACTTCTAAGTACTCCAATTCTATAGCATTTGAGCAAATAGATATATAAAAGCTCAGGGTAATGGATTGGTAACTTTCTCGAATCTCATGAAAATCAGTCTGAATGAAAATGTATGCAAATCAGATAGAGCCTCACGTGAACCTTCAACTTCTAACAATTGTGTTCGCTTTCTTTTGATCTTTATTTCGAATCTGAACAAAGTTTGGGGATGACAACTATTACGGGGACAACAAAGAAACGCTTTTTCTTAGATACATAAATATGAAATTAGAAAACCAGATTTTTTAAGAAAACACCTAAAGAGTTCTTGATAACTTAGAAGAATATAAAGTATTGTTTCTCGTATGTTGATAGAATATCTATCTGAGTGAGCCCAAGAAAATGAACGAAACAGACTGAATAAATCTATTGAGACTTTGTACCTTCAGTGCATTTTTATAGAAAACAGGTATAATAGATCGTTTTAACAACATTTGATTTTCATCCGTTCATATTGAAAACGTTCACACATGCCTTCGTGACTTTAGCAAATGTTTAGCAATAAGCGATGATTGATGACAAAAGCTGTTTTTCAACTGTTTCAATAAAACAACACATTATAATATAGAAAATGATTAATTTTCTTATCTATACGCGCTGTAGTGATTCTTGCACGATATCTAAACCTTTTCTCTTTATAACTGTTTCCCTAGTTTCCAGACATGTAATAATCGTTAATCTGAATACTACGATATCGACATCTCTGTCTTGCATCCCTCTCATATAAATCGTCAACGATCCACTATTTCAAAAAAGTATCCTCTGATGGAATAAAAGTGCAATCCGGTTGTTAATATAGATTATTTCGTAATATGCATGTTGAAGTTTTCCTTCGAATATACAAACATATATTGAACCTACTAATGTGCACATATATACGCACATCACATGTCATCCATCTCTGCATTCTATATCTTCTGAAAATGCTTCAAGTTTACAAAATGAGAACCCTAATATTTTCGTATTATCCTACAAAACCTTTTCTCAAGGTTCAGGAGAGCGTTATTTTGTATCCGACTCTATTATTTTATACGAACCATCGATTGTTTTATAACATATTTGATAGTGCACTAGTTCACACGTAACGAAAAATGAACAGAATATCGTACACACCTAATGCACTCTCACGCATCCTCAAGATAGTTTCATGGGTAGTTTTATTGAAAAGAAATCTAAATCACTTAATAAAAAAAGAAATAGAAGAAAATGAATAAGTATATATTAATCTGATTTTCTTCAGAAAGAAAACGATTACTCTGACCATTATTGGTAACGGTTAATGATCGATTTGCATTAAGACAGCTTGTCATATTTGACGTGCAATTATCTTGGGCACAAAAGCATACTTGTTGAATATACGTTTCGTTACTTGAATCAATTATTTGCTTGTAAATCACATAAAAGTATGATGAACTTTGATTATATGCTACACTTACACCGGAATACTGATCAAAATAGTGAATATTTTGGATATTTGCAAGCAGAATCAATCGATATTCGTCTTCGGATAATCCGACCGCCAAAGTTCCATTGCCTTGAAGTATAAGAACACATAAAACTGTATTTGCACGATAATATTCAATGCATGCGGTCAAATTGATATAAGGAGAGTGCGAATTGGCACAATAATAAGTCGTATTGACAGTATCAGTTTGAGAAAACAATGAATTGACACAAGAAATCGATGTCTGCAGTCGAGGAAGCAATGCTGGTAAACTTACTGGTGCAGAATTTGATTGTGTTTGATTCTGAACTGAAAATCGGCACGAATCAAGATCATGATTACATAAATTCGTTGCACAAATACATAAGATCGATGTATTAAATGTTTCATATGACAACGGTGAACAATTACCATATCCAATATCAGTTTGATTCGAAAAGCCATTGCATCGTTCGGCGAAACTTTTATACGTATTTGTTATTTGAATAAAATCCTGAATGACTTCGATGTTCGATCCATAACTATAATATTGGTATACGCAATACTCACAATCTGTAACCATATAATTGGAATAGAGACAAGTCAGGTTCATTCGACTTTTTGTCTCGTTCGTCATCATAAATTGATCGATATTCATGAAACTCTGACAACGAAGTATCAACATACAGAAGAATACGAAGAGCACCGTCATTTCTACATACGATCAACGCACCGTCTCTTATATACAAGAAACTTTTAACAAAATAATTTATTCCTGTCATGCAATGTGTACAAAACAAAAAAGGGCGGACTGTTTTTACTGTAGCGACAGTCGAAACGATCCGAATTCGTCTCGCTTAATCAAATACCGCGATGGTAAATAATGTTTAAACCATGTTTCTAATTTCGTCGGACTTTCTTTCCATTGTTCGCATTGACACTGGAAAATTAGTGTTCGTAGACACGTTATTCGATTGATGAGATCGACTACACTTGTTTTCTTCTGAAGATTGATTTCTAAAACTTGACATTGTTGAAACAATGAAGAAGAACATAGTTGCTCGCATTGTTGAATGTTGTAATAGATTCCATCTCGAATAGACAGACGTCGAACAGAATTACTTGCAAGGAAAAAAAACGACCAGTTATTCTTATTGAAAATGATCGTTTGTAACCGAGGTGCACGATTGAGTAACGTTTGCACATGCGATCGAACTTGACCATCGAGATACTGAATGTCGAGGATTGTTAGAAAGTTCAATTTTGGACAGAAAATATCGAGATATTTGAATGTATAACCAATAACAAGATGGCGAAGGTTGGAAAATTGAATTCTTTCATCGATTTCATCAGTAGGTTTGTCGTCATCGGGAACCAGACAGAGAATGCGAACGGTGTCATATGATTCACATTCGATGGCTTGAAAATTATACGTCGACTTCGAGTAAACAGGTTTGATATATTTGAATGCATCGAATACGTATGGTAAACTATAGAACAGAACGAAATACTGCTCTTCCGAATTGTTATATTCAAGATTGGATAGGCAACGAAAATGCAGTTGCCGTTGTAAAGTCCAATAGGATCTCTGATACGATTCAACTAATTCATCGACTTCCATTTCAAGATCGTAGTCCATTGTCAAGTAAAACGACATTTTTAAATGAAAATCTGACAAGTGCAGTAAATGTTTACAAATCAAGTCTTGCCATTGATAGCCATCGATTTTCTGATTGAATAATTCGATGTGTAATTTGAGTACATGTGGTGTTAATCGAAGAATATGATCTAATCCACTGAAATAGCCGGTAAATTTTAGATTTAGGATTGTTATTAATGGAAGAGTGCTTTGCAAATCCGCGTCAATGGAAAGATCATCGTCATCCAAATCTTGGTAGATTTCGATTGTTAATTCTTCTACGGACGGTGAATGTTTGAGTAAAGTTTCGAATTCAGTTGGAAGAAACGAAATTTCCAATAGATGTAGGCGCTTAAGAGATACAGATATGTCGAGATTGTACAAGAAATAATCGAGAAAAAGGTTCGGATCGGATATGTAAAGGTCGGTAAGAGCGAACAGGGACCAAATTGAGTAACAATAAGGATAAATATCCTGTCGATCAATATCGATTTGATCGATTTTTAAGTAGTTGAAATGCGGAAAAAACCTTAAGTTTGATAATAACCAATAGAATGCCACTTTAGAACGGATATGATATAAAGACAACGATCGTAATGAAAAGAAATTATGAAAAGGTAATCTATAGGAGAAAAATAATTCAGTCTGGTAGGGCGTATCATCATCATCGGAAAGTGTCAATGAGGAGATTTTCCAAACATTCTCCCGAAATGATTCCTGACAAACCAAATCCATTTCGTTCTTGGTGATCGATTGAAAATTGAAATCATAATAGCGTGAGTAGAACGAGAGGAGTTCGGTAAAACGTGAATTAAGATGAGGAAAGATTCGGAAGAGTTCAATGCCATCGAGATAATCGAAGATTTCGAGTAGTAAATCATTGGGTAAAGATTCAAATTGCATTTTTTCAGACGAATTCATTCGATGTTTGTGAAGCAAAAGAAATTTGCCATCACATTTTTCTTTGTTGTTCTCATCCACGATTTTCATGCCATCAGCGATAGATGAAATCAACAATCGAATACATGTGTGCACAGGGTAGTCAAAACAATGAGAACGAAAGAACAAGAGAAAAAAAAGAGAGAAGGAAATATTTCACAAAAGAAAATCAAATCTCAGTCATGATTAATAAAACTTGTTGAAATTTATTGCGAAAACGTTTCTTGACAAAATTATAAAGTTTAGACACCAGAACAAGTGCGGAACGTAATAACACTTTGGTCGTATCACTTGGTTCTGGCCGTTTTCCACTCGTTCGTGTACAAATAAGAAGTTGTATAATTCTTCAACAATACCAACAACTATGTAACGGTTAATAATATTCTTCTTCGCTCTGTCTAGTGAAAAACTAGACGAAGTTTCACAATTAGGATCATGACCGTAAAAGAAAGGAAGAATGGTATTAACTCCGTGTGACACACTAATACATTCGAGTACTGGTCGACATTGAACACATTCATCCAATTTTTCATTCAGAAATGTTGTATCGAAATAGCATCGATTCTCGTCGCGACACATTTCACGTGCCCAATAGTATTCTTGACGCGACTCTTCGCATAGGATCTCGTATAATATTGCTGTATACCGGTTGTGGATAATTTAAAGAATTGAAATCGATAAAGTACATATGCCGTTCGTGGAACACAGGCGTTTTCCCATTGAGCATACCGCTTGCAATTTCTTGATGAGCTTCTGGAGTCAAACGAAAGGGAACGAAAATCTGTTCGTTCTTGATTGTAAAACGTCGAGCTTGTGCGCGTTCACGGAATAGATTTCGAAGCATTTCACTAGCTGTTTATGGTACTGTGAATTACATACGTGGAAACTAGTTGTTGTTAGTTGAATACTATGGGCTTCGTTGACAAGAAAAATTTTTGTCGAGATGACAAATATTGCCAAGTAATGTATCAGAACGAAAAATGCTAATGAAACTGTGCCTTTTATGTGCATCAATGTACTTTTGCATGATGTTTATCACGATGGAGAAAGGTGTCATTGGCCGGTGCACACACGTGGTTCTGTAAACGTGTTATTTCTTTCTGCGTGAATATTTTGTTCGTCCTTCGTGTTGACGATGAAATATCTATTTATGTGTTCTTACTGGAATAACTTAGACCATTTTTACCAAACCCGTTGGAGTTTGAATGGTTCTGTCTCAAAATAACAATCGTCATGGTCTATCGTGTTCTTCCTTAAAATGATGGTCAAATTCAAACCTCTGATTCTAACTATTCTTCAACTCGTGAAGTCCGCCTGTGACAATGAAAATCTTATGAAAATATCAACGCACAACCATCAATATTCGTGACTTTCAATGTATATTACATTACATAGAACGGCAAATGGTTAGTCTGTGTCAATACTTTGGAATTCGTTTTCAGAACTTTCTTTATCACACAACACTATCCACTTCTTCATATGTATTTCTCCAGATAATTATGACAAGAAACGGCGATCCTTTCTTATACGATCGCCGCCTTTTACAAAGTCTAAAAAACGATCCGTTGAACGTTTTCCCATACAAATCCGAAGGCACAACAAACACAAGTATCGATGGGGTGAACGAAATAAAATAACTGCACAGATATAACCATGTGTACTGAGACACATCGATGCAGCCAGATAACAACGAAATGACCAGACGAGGTGTGGAGAGAACAACTAAAATGATGGGACTCACGACAAGGTGTTTGTGTTCGCTCCATTGTTTGCGAAGATGTTGTCTACATGTTTGTTGATTTTGAGCTTCTGCTCGTCATCGAGCACTTCCAATGATGATGAACATCGAAGGCAAAAGATTTATGCTGAACGGATCAAGAAGATGAATGAAGAGAATGACTGTATTGTAATCTTGAAGTGATTGTGGATAAGTAGTCATACGCCAGCAGAGTGTATCCGTCGCGAATTCTTTCGAAGTATATGTCTCTTCGTCGATCTTCCTACGTTCCTTTATTTTATGTTCGAAGATTTGACGATACAGTGGCTCATGGATGATCGTTTCCACAACGAAAATCGGTAAAATGGAGATGATCCATCGAGCAAAGCGTTTTCTTTTTCTCTTTGTCAAAACTGACTCCTTTATAAACGCTCACTGTACGTTCCACTGCTACACGGACATTGAGCTAAGCATCTGGGTAGCAGAAGCGTTTCAATCGACTTACAGCCACGTCCAAGAACGATAATGTCAACGAAACTCCTTTTACTTGGCACCCATTTAATGAATTTGTTATTTAAACATAGCGGATATAAATTTCATAAGTTTTGAAGACATAAATGAACTGAAATATGCATCCATCTGCTACAGCAATCATCGTAGGATCATCATCACCCTCATGCCAAACGAGAATTTGATATTTTTCAGTAATAGAAATATAAATCGTGTCGTTCGCTTCAATAAATATATCAGCAGCATACTTTGTGAATGCCACGTGTTTATCACAGAAAGTCGTTGCAATCGGATTCTATTTGACTGTTGGATAGAATTTTGGTTGATTGACGCAAACAGCTACACAATCAAAGCGACAGGCTCGGTTAATTCACTACGTCAGATACCGACGGTTACCTGATATTCCATTGATGAAAATCGGCAGGAAGACAACAGTAATGTTGAAAAGACTCTTTATCCACATATTCAATGAAATATGTCAAGTAGAAATGACTTCGTTCATGTTTTCCTCGACACTTATATCTTCCTTTCCTTTCCATTATTCATAGTGTATAGGTGTTTTAATGAATATGGTTTTGATTGATATTGTTTTTCTTCGTGTTCACAACAGCTCTGTGATCATCATGATTTGTCGATGAGAATACTTTTAACAAGTAAAGAAAGCGATGGTGTATTTGAAGAGGCACTTTCTATTTACACATTCATATCACAAACTCAATATTATGAAGGTTTAAGTCATGATTATTCACTTTCTTTACTTTGAAATAATAATCCAAACTGAAAAATATTCATTCCATGATCTTAATTGATAAAGAAAACGGATTTCTACGTCTTACTATATTAAAATATCTGTTTATATACGTGTCAAGTTTCAAAGAAAAAGGAAATTCAACTATAGATGCATCCTGTTAGTAAACGAGGGTGTCGATTCAACGTGCCATCTACATAACAACTCGGATTAGACTAGTCACATTAAGAAAAGCTTAATCTTGTCTCTACTGCTGCACTCACAACACCTTACTTAGATATTCGACTTTGTCAAATGAATTCCAAACGAATGAATCTTCTTTAAGTACATATTTTTACACAGAATAATAGTGAATCTTCCAGACAAATCAGGTTTAATTTCTCTATTCATTCATTTTAACGTGGTTTTTCCTCTTATAAACAACTTAATTCTTTCACCATGCGTCAATAATCACAGGGTACCGTTCAAAGAAAATCAAAGTCCGATTGTTAAATAAAGCTCATCCAATAGAATAAATTTTATGTCCTTTTAAGAAAAAAAAGTCCTTCGCAATTTATAATGATCTACGCGGTTATTTCTACTTTTTAACGAGCGTATAAAACTCACAGTCATACTCGTGTCACTCTTTCACAACACAATGCTTAACATGGAAGAAGCGTATACTGTTGCTCATCTCCTGATGATCATCGCTGGTCTAATCATGTTAATCTTTGGTTCAATTGGGAATCTTCTCAACATATATGTGTTCACTCTTTGGTCTCGTTCTCGACGAACGCTCAAAGATCATCATCAGGATACGCATCAAGCCAATAACAGTTCTTTATACTTACTCGCATCATCGATCTCTAATTTAATCGTTCTTTTATATCCATTGGTCACTCGAATCATTTTCGATGGATTTAATTATTCAGTTTCACAAAATCAAGTGATTTTCCTATGCAAAATTCGATTCTTCGTTTTACACACTTCTGATTTGATGTCTTTAACATATTTTTGTATGGCTACCTTCGATCGGTATTTAATAACATCCAGAAATGCTCATTTGAGAAATCTTAGCACTACCAAACACCGCACCATACAAATAATTCTGCTCGTCTTTCTTTTCTTTTGTCTCCATAACATTCCTCTACTCATCTTCTTCGAAGTTTCATCAACCGGTGATTGCGATGTCAATTCAAATCAATATTCTTACTATTATTTATACGCTACTCAAATCTTTTTACACGGCATCTTTCCCATCGTATTTCTATCAATATTTGGCACACTAACCTTTCAGCAGTTAAAACAACTACAAGTTCATGTTCAAAATCATTTGAATGTCGATAAACAATTGTCTCGAATGCTCGTGTTAATGTCAATTGCAATTGTTATCTCATCAATTCCATATTGCGTTGAGCAACTCTACTACGAAATGTTTGCTCATGGTAATCAACAACAATCCGGATTGATCTTTCTGTTGCATGTCATTTCATCAATTTTATTTTATGTTAATCCAGTTTCAAGTTTTTATATCTATTTCATTTCAACGCCACACCTCCGACACGAAGTACAAAGATTATTTTACCGTAGTAAACATCATCATCGTTTTACGAACAATCAAATTCACACAATAACGGACCTTCATCAATCTCATTAAGAACAGCACATCTTTTTTTTTCTATCTTTGTAATTGTGAAGAGCGAGACGGATTGAACTAATTATCGGAAAACATGAAAAGGAGTCACAAGATCTTTGCGTGCCTTTGTATCTAGTCGTGTGAGAGAGGTTTGTTCTTGTAACACTGGACGAGGTTAAATATAGATCACTTTAAAAAAATGTTAAAGTATCCAATAAAAATAATTGTCTGCTGCTTAGTCCTGACAGATGACTAGTGTCTCCTAAAATTAGATATGCATTGTGGGTTCTGAAAAAGAATACATTTGTTTGCTATAAGGATCGTCGAGAAAAAAGGAAATGAATAAAGAGATTATTGTTATTGGCAAGTTTTCTTATACTATTTCGGATATACTGACGAAAGTATGCCGATGAACAATTTCATCTGAATATCATATTCGCAGCAACGTTTGTCGATAAAATATTGTTGGTGCACGTTCGACGCTCGTTATGTCCAATGAAGATATAAATGGCTCGTTTTTTTACGAATCTGAACAAGTTTATCTATTGTCACAACGCGTCCTTCAATACATGCTTGAGACTGTGTTCAAGAAGATACTTATCATTGATGCCATTACTTCTTCATCTTATAAGAAACAAAATGTCACGTCATCAATTCGATCTGTTCAAATGAAAATGAGTAGGCGCAAGTGTCTAATTATGATTAGTGTCATCGATTCGAACTTGAATTTCTTGTAAATTCGACTGAAACAAAGCATGTACGACTGGATAAAGACTTGGTCTTCGGGTTAATCAATTGAAAATATCGACAAGATAACTAGTTAGACGATCGAATACGAGGCACTGTAAAAATTGTGAATAATCAGAATAATTATGTGGTATATGTGAACAGAAAAAAATGAATGGTGTACAAAAAAATCAATTTTATGGTTGTTGAGATACTCAATGACGACGTACACTTTTGTCTTCAGTTTCTTTTTCTCTTCATGTGAGAACAAAAATAAAAGTTACAAATTCTCAGTAGTTTTAATGTTTCTTTTATAGAGATGAATATGCGAGGATGACTTGATGGTAGAACTAGTTGTCAAATTTGCAGAGCGTATTTGAAAAACAAATGAGCCGCCGAATAATCGCCCGTTCTATGATACACTAAACCAAAGTTGTTGTACGATGCAGCCAACGCAGAACGATTATTGAGAAGGAGTGATTGTCGTTGAATTTGGAGAATCTGCTCATATGCTATACGTGCCGTTGAAAAATCGTTCATTTCAAAATATATCAAACCAATGTTGCTGTAGGACGATACCATATCGGGATGCTTAGAAGGAAATGACTCAAGTAGTATTTCGAGAGATTTTTCATACAATATTATGACGCCTTCATATTGACCTTGTTGGTATTTAAATAAGCCAAGTTGATTATGAATCCATGTCGCGTTGTTTTCATGAATTGTTTTATTGGTCAGATCTCTACCGATCTGTTCAATAATATCCGTCTGTGCTATTCGAGTTAGCATACGTAACTCTTCATCAGTGCTACTGGTCAGCAACAAAAATTCACTTCATACACTCCCTTGTTTTCGTCCACTGCTTTGACATCATTGACACGAAACACACTGTGCATCGAAAACAGAACTTCTTTCTCTTCTCCAAACTGACTTACGTGTTCGACCAAAGCAAGTGGCATCGTTGACTGCTTAGGATTAATCTTCATCATAAAAAAAAGACGCTCACGACTTTATCATCTTTCCCATCAGTGTGATCATCTCTCTATTGTAAACCAACAGATGGGTTTATGACTGTGATGTTCATCTTCTAATTGTTTCACTTTCTTTTGATCGATGTCATTGTCAAGAAATGTGTCTCAGCAATGGTCTACGAATTCTTTTCGATGTTTATCTTCAAATTCAATCATCATCAAGAGGATTTCTCTAATGATTTGTCTGTACATCAATGATGGATCTAGATGATCTAGTCTTTTACCAGATGCCAAAAAGCTCATTGGACTATCATTGATTTGATATCGACGGGTGGTCGGTTGACAGATCTGCGTGATATCACTGGAGATATCGTTACCGATTGCCCATGTTGATCTTTTCCGTCATCAAGGATGTAAGTTGAATCGATGTTTAGGATGTCGTACATATACAATACAACATACCGTACAAGTGATGCTCAAATGATCAGACATACTTTTCAGTCGATGTTGTCACGAATATAATTGATGCATTGATCATTGTCATTGAATATACTGATCTCGGGTAAAGTGTATTGGAGTTGTGTAGATGTTCTTGGATGATCTTGATTATCACCGTGAACATAGTTATTCAACCACACGATCAGACCGCCTGATATTTGTACAATGTTGTTAGTTATAGTTTGTTTCTCAGTTGTGTTCATACCTTTCGTTGTTTTGTGTTAAAGATATAAAAGTGTGAAGTGTACCAAGAGTTCTGTGATCGAGACAGCAAAACAGTAACAATACGTAACTTTCTTTTTTGTGTGTATAAAGGTAAGACTTCACTTTCTTCCAACACGCATAATTATACTTCAAGATATTTACGACAACGTTGTCAAAGAGAAAATTGATCATATATGAGCACAAACACTAGTGCAACAATAAATTCGTTAGGTAAAAATCATTGGTCACGTATAATTGTATTTATATCATCTCTCAAATGATACTAGCATTTCAAAAACGTCAAGTCAACAAAGTGTGATTACTATTTCTTTTTTTTTATAAGAAGATTGTCATCCAGACAGAGTGCTGACTTCTCACTACCATCTTCTTCAGATTTGAAAGAGGTGAAAATATAAAATGCGACAATGCTGAGAAAAGTAGTCGTCATTTTCTTCAAGCAAATGAATACACTGGATTGGATACTCTGCTGATCTTCTCTCGTTCTTCCATATTATTGCAATTTTTAATTGAAATACAAATTTATAACGATCTTATAGGTCAACGTACTTCGTCAATCGGGAATGCTTGAACTCAGATAATATACTTAAAGAATTGTCAAAATACAAGACTTTTAACGATTTTTCATGAGTAAATCGTTCTCGTAATAGAAAACGCTCGATTATTTTTCTATGCAACGAGATTTACACGGAGTAAACTTTTGTTCTGTTCCAACACAGACGAAGATGAAAATAACTAAGTATACGTCTCGATCGGAGCAATGTTCCCGTTTCCTTATAGGAGGAACGCAAAAATTTCAATGTGCCTTATGTTCTCCGTCCGTCATTGTCGTATATTCAGAAGAGAGAAAAACAACTATGACTCACGTGATATAAAAGCATAAAAACAGTAGGAAAAATATTATTACAGTGTTTTTATATCGTGAATAAAGCATTCGTATAGATATTTCTGTGTTTGCGAACATGTCGATCGCTGTAAGCTGTAATGATGAAATGCTCGTCGCAAGAATTATATGCGAAGCAATGATGATCGGTCTTATTGCTTTGGAACCAGTGAAAAATCCCTATTTGAAAGTATTCGTTCAACGTTTGCTCGCTGTCTTCATTTTGGACGAATTGGTTATTATGACAGAAGGATATATTCTGTATACGAATACGTATGCTGAATGGAAAGCAGTTTTCTGGCGAACACATGAGATTATTCGAGTATTTATTAGTCTGTCTTTATGCTATCCAATGTCGTTGTTTGTCGGAGAAAACGGGCAGAAAGTACAACGGTTTTTCGTGGTTATTTCGGGTTTAGTATTAATCGGAGGTTGTTTCGATCATTTGCAGTATAGAAATGGACATTCGGGAATGAACCACATCGCCTTTATGCTTATCTTTTTATTTACTTTTTATCAATATGTTCAGCTTCGTAGACAAACTCGAGGAGAAGTCCCACGACTGAAAAGTCTAATGGCTATAGAATCTATGTTAATCATTTTAAACTTCGTATTAATAGCATTATTTCTTGATCGTGGACATGAACAGAAAGCTCTGTCAACGATCAAAATTACTATGACAATATTACAATACCATAAATTCTATATGATTATTTCGGTAATGACATATTTTGAGTGACCAGCGTGTTATTGTTCTGTTCAAACTACTAATTAAAACTAAGTTTAACCATATTCTCAAAACTTTTAAAAGCATTCTTTTCTGTTTCAAATACAAAACAGTTTACTACTGCAACGGCCCCAACTGAAATACGCAAAAGATAGTCATACTTACACCATACGGTAAAATGTATCACTAAATTGATCAAGAAATGTCTCGCTAAATGGTCTAAAAGCATCTTTCAGGTTACTATGTTTATTAAAAAACCGATTCCGTTCAGGATTCGGTAGTTGATTCAAAACTGTTCGTGAATTAATTACTACCTGTGGTTCCAGTATCAGATTTTGCACTTAATGCCTGGAAATGAATACCATTGTCATCTACTATTTTTGTACCTAGATACAGGGTTTACGATTTGGGAGAGCAGGAGGGGAAATCTCCCCCTCCCCTAATTTTTTCTTGTATTTCACCTCTTTTTCTCGTAATGTGTTTTAGCATTTTATTACAACAAATATTTCTTAAATAGGTAAAAGACAAAGAAGTTCTCTGGTTTTCTAAAGTTTTCAATGTTAACACTGAATGTTAGTGACTGTGATTTAGATATAATCGTGACAAATGTCAACCCTCATACTGGTCGAGCAAAAGCACGTAGTATCACGATATTTAGGTACTTATTTATGCATGAAAATGAAGACAATATCGATGATGAAACTTGTTGAAGATCAACCCAGTCATTTGTCAATACAGTCGTTTTTTGAAAACTAGACAAGAGTATACTTTTGTGCTGCACTTCAAGAAAATAAATTTAGCTTCATCATAATCTTTATACAGCTTGATTAATGCGCATCAATGTTATTTCAGATACTGATATCTCATACTAGGTAGATGAAAATGAAAAAAGTTTGAAATTGAGAGCTTCAGTATAGTTTTACAAGAGTGTATCGAGTTGTTTCTCTTTGACTAAAGGAGACTTTCTCCCTGAATTTCCCCTTCAGAAGAATATGAAACGAAAGTGCTGCCTACGTCAAGTACATAGAACACTGATGACTTTGATGGACAGGTAGGTGTAACGACAAACTGGTTGAGTAGCTAAGTGTTTCTGACGGTATAGATGTTTCTTGAGCTTACTCACGTATCCAGAATGTGTCTACTTCACAATAAGACACGCTTCTTTTGAGAGAGGAAAACAGAGAGAGAGATGAACAGAAGGAGACGATGTCATTATCGCTACAGATAGTTCTCGAGAAGTCAAACCTAATTCAATATTTCTGTTTTTTTTTCGTATGAAACATGAATGAAAAGTATCGTACGCTGAGCTACTATTTCAGTCGTGGTAATGCGAGTTACTATCGACGAGCGTTATTTATATTTTATTCACATAAGAAACTATCCCTTGCACGGACTGAAAACAAAATTTTCCAACTCGGGTAGATTGATCATTGAATCGACCTCCATTTATCTTATCTTTCTACTGTTATATGTTTTGCTATCCAATAGAAACTGAACTTCATCGAAACTTTTTTCTAAACAACACAATTAAATTTGTAATCAACGGAACAAAAGCTAATCATCGTTCGATACACGGTACATTCAGAAGGTGAACAAATTTTATTCTTAATGTTTTACACAAAGCCAACACGCAGTAAATCAATCGCAGATGTAGACATTTTCTTTCGCTTCCCTCCCAAGCTATTATGGTATAATTGTGTATGTATTCCCAAAGCAACTGAAATCAGACATCCGATTCCGATGTCGTTTTTTTTTATCTTTTCCGTTTTGAGTCATTAGAGGGACTGGGGGTCGAAGAACGGTTCATCGCTGGATTCTCCATTCGGTTCTCTTGTACTTGGGTAAATAAGTGCAGCAGGTTGGATGTAGTCAGTTTCTTCGGTTATCGCCGATAGAAAATAAGCTTACCCAATAATTACGATTGAAATCGAAAAAAAGACATAAGACGGACAACTATATCGAGCATAAACGCAAAGCTTATAAAAAAGCTTTCAGCGCAATCCCTAACGGGATTAAAAATGTGAAACACGATCCAACTGGAGAAACTTTCAACACATAGAATGGTCAATTTACTTCCCAGTGTGCATTCCTATTTATTTAAACTTAAGCTGTTGAAAATAACATATCATTCTCAATAGTGATGTCCGCTGCTTGTTAAAAGAGCTTCGTTTCATCGGTCACAATATGTGATGCTTCCTATTGCGCTTCCATTAACCGATCCCGATCTGTGTTGACGGTGAGATCTACGTGGGTCGACGTAACGAAGTTGAGAGCCACCCTGTCTGTCAGACAAAGATATAGAGCTTATTTGCCTTTTCACATAACAACCTCTCTCTCTCTCTCTTCATTTTTTAGGTACACCTTTTACAGAAAACAGTGAGTAACAGTCAAGGCCAGACGGTAACGGTTTGTCACAGGGCTTTTGCGCTTGTTTACAACGGTATTTGACTGGTTTTTGGGGCGTCTGTAACGTCTGTGATGTGGTTTTCCAGCGTCTGTAACGTCTGTGGGGGGAGGGTCCAAATTTCTGCCCCTACACACTTCAACACTCTCTTTCAGATCGTGTTTCACAAAAACTAGTTAATACTGGTATAGCAGACATGCGACTTGGTTCATTCAGTGAAGTTTATTATATAACAAACCGCTTAACGATGAGGCATGTTCTCTTTCTCGTAAAGAAGAGTCTTAGAAACATAAATTGTTTGCTTGCTTGTTTGCTTGTATGTCCGCAGGGTCAAAAAAACCTTGAAAATCGATTTTTTCGAAAACACATTTCCAGATGTATTTCGATGCGGAGACTTCGAATCTGATGTTATTTTTTTGAAATTTTTCATAAAAAAAATTTTTTAGGAAAAGGGTTATTTTTTACGGAAAAATTGTTTTTTGGTGAAGTTTGACCGAAGGGTTTTCGAAGTCGAGAATTACGAATCTCAAATCAGGTTTTACATATTATATAAACAGAAACTTCCGTGATATTATAGAGGATGATTTCTACGAGAAAGAGCTGAGCGAGTTCACAGACGAGCGTTACTTGTTTAATAAAACGTAATATTGTACATGAAATTGTTTCCACAATATTTTCATCAAGTCAATTTATTGAACAAATAGAAAAAAGCTTCATTAAAACGATTGAATAAAAACCCACATGTATACATGTAGGGAAAGTTTTTCTTTTAAAATTACAAGAAAATTTCTAACATGTCTGGACATAAATGCTCAAACTATCAGTGGCTTTGTTTGCTACAGCAAAATCCACTTTTCCATCTTTACTAAAATCACCAGTTGCAACCGCAAATGGATTTGATCCATAAGGCATCGAGTATGAGAGCATGTTGTCGAATGTTCCATCGCCTCGACCAAGAAATACTCCAAATCTATTGTTGTTATAATTAATAACAATGATATCGAGATTCGTATCATTGTTAAAATAATCAACAGCTAACGAAGAGGGAGACGAGGATGAACCGGTTGAATAGGTTGTCTGATTGGGAGAGAATGAACCGTTTCCATCGCCAGAAAATATCTCGATAGTATTAGAAAGAAAATCAGCGACAGCTAGATCTAAGTGATTGTCATGATTAAAATCGCCACTTGCTATAGAATATGGAGATGATGCTGCACCTGTTGAATAGACTGTTCGATTTGTAAATGAAAAATTACCGTAGCCAAGAAAAACACTGATATTATTGTTGTATGAATTAGCAACAATGATGTCCGTGTAATTATCATGGTTAAAATCATGAATGGTAAACGATGGTGATTTGGAACTGTAGTCAATCGAAAGAGTGGTTTGCTTTCCAAAAATAAGATTTGAACAGCCAAACCAGACAGTAACGGTGTTATCACCTATGTTCGCGACCACAACATCAAGTTTAGCGTCACTATTTAGATCCTTAGAAGCGATAAACCGCGCACCAGAGCCAGTTTGATATTTATTTTGAGGCGCGAATCGTCCATCACCATATCCCAAGAGAACACTAAGATAATTGCTACCAACATTGGCAGCAATTATATCTAAGTGTCCATCATTATTAAAATCACCAATTACTACTGATTCTGGAAGAATACCTACTGAATATATGATTTTCTTTTGGAAAGATCCATCGCCGTTTCCTAGCCGAATTGTCACTGTACGATGGCCTATAGTACCTGCAACAATGTCTAATCGGCCGTCATCGTCTAAATCCCCAACTGCTAATGTGATTGGCTTTGAGTCCACTGAAAACGTAGTTTGTGGTGTAAATGATCCATTACCATAGTTCAGAAAAATTCCAACATTATCAAAATCATAATTAGCAACAGCAAAATCCAGATAAGTATCGTTATTAAAATCAGCGACGAAGATGTAGCGTGGAGAAGAATAATTTGAATAGACAGTTTCAGATGCAAACGAGCCATTACCATAGCCTCGTAACATAATTACTCTATTAGGCGATCCCAAAAGTATATCAAGGTTTCTATCGTTGTTAAAATCACCCACAGCCATAGATGCTGCAGTATAGTCAATTTTAATTGTTATCACAATCCCAAAGGATCCATTGCCGAATCCTAGAAATAGAGCAAGATTTTCAGTGTCACCATTGGTAACAACTAGATCGAGCCGATCGTCGTTATTGAAATCACCGACAGCTGCAGAAGTTGGACTGCTTTCAACCGAATATGTTGATTCATATTGAAAACTACCGTTCCTAACTCCTAAGAAGACGCTTACACTGTCAGAATCATAGTTAACAACCATCATGTCAGCATAACTGTCGTTATTCATATCTGCTAGGACTATAAACCCTGGACTAAATCCAACTAAATATGTCTGCGGATCCGCAAACGATCCAGAATTCAACACAGTAAGCACATCGATCTCATCACTATCACCGTATCCAACAACAATTTCTGTTCGTCCATCATTATTAAAATCTCCAGAGGAAATAACGAACGGACGAGATTCAGAAGGAACCTGGTGGGTTGCTTGACGGATAAAAGATCCTCGACCATCTCCAAGTAAGATTCCAACTTGACGAAAACCAGAAAGAGCTACTGCAATATCTAATTGAGAATCATCATTGAAATGGCCAATAGCAACTGACGTAGGTTGAGAATTCGATTCCATGCCAATCGTGAGTCGATTGAGGAGAGTCTCATTGTCAGTACTAAACAGAATTGAAATATCATCAGTACCATAATTCGCAACAACCATGTCTAGTCGACTATCGTTATTCAGGCTGCGAATGGCTATCGACTGTAATTTGGAACCACCACCAGGTGCATATGTTAAGTCGGTTACCAGAGCACCTGTATTAGACTGGAGTAATATACTTGCTTTGGTACTACTGGTGTCTGTTAGAATTAAGTCCAGTCGTTTATCATTATTTAGATCTCCAACTGCTACAGAGAATGGTTTTGCGTGCGCAGGATACGATATTGCAGCTTCGAACAAACCATTATCGAGTCCAAATAAAATGTACACATTTGACACTCCAGAACAACCGACAATAAGATCTAATCGTGTGTCATTATTTAAATCGACAATAACTATCCATGCTGGTGCGCTACCCACTCCATATGTAACTTGTGTTGCAAAGGTACCGTTACGATCTCCTAATATAACACTCACCGTATCGCTTATATAATTAGCAACAACAATATCCATTCGGCTGTCATTATTNCAGTTAAACAAACGATGATAATTCCAATAGTCATCATGGTACAAATGAATGTAGAAGATAAGAAGATACGGAGAATGCCGCTCGGTGTTCCAAGAATGGAACGTTTTCTGAAGAAAAAGTATTCAAAATTGAATTTAAAGAAAAAGAAACACGCACAGCTCATGTGAAGGATTCGAAATGCTGATTTCATCCTTCTCTTGTGTTTCATCATAGAAATCGAATGTAGACTGTGTGTTCGAAAATAGTTCAGAATTGTTATGCATTGGAATGCCAGCAACCGCACGTTCTACCGAAGTAATGTGTCGATCAGTAGTGAGCATTTCAATCTAAATGGAATAAACTAAAAGATGTACCACAATCATATTCGAATAATGTTTCATACCTGATCCATAGTGTACCGTTCGACAAATGGATACAATCAAGTGACAAAAACACCGTCTTTCTTAGTCGTTTATAGGCAGAGGTAAATATATGATCTAAAAGTACATTTCGACCTCGTCTAGAGAGTCATAGCGAGATATATGAAAACTAAGTATAAGACACTAAAATATTCGGTTGATAGATTTTTATGGTTGATCTGTATTTCATCTTTTCCTTTTCTTGGAACGTGAGTGGGCAAACTTAGAGTGTAACTAGGGATAAAACAATTCTAAAGTCTTGAGGTTGAACTTTGGCTTTATTCTTTGAGTTTATATTCGAGTTTGAGTGTTGAATGTCTAAAGTACAGATCTCTCACAGTGAGAAATCTTTGTCGTACAGATGATAGTAAACATCTCCATCAACTATAGTTCTGTTACCACTCCAAACTCGCTCGAATGAAAAATCGAAATCCTTACCAGTATTAACTCCGCTTCTATCAGTAAAACAGTAGTATCCGTTCCTACCTTAATAATTGTACATCATTTCACGTGACGCTTTCGAAAGGATCGTAACAAAACAAAAAGTTTCTATGAAACGCTCTCTATAAACACTCACATAAATTTTCGAAAGAGCGTAATTTTAAATCCGAGCCCTATCACACGCATTCACGCGATATAATAAGCGTGCTTTCTATACCTTTTTTTAATTGTGAAATGAGGCACAAACTGACGTATAACTGGATATATACACATGATAAAATAGCTGTTTAACCTTTTTTTTTGTTATGTATAAACGTTACGGTGTGTTCTGTCGCGCAAAAAATGCAATAAAAATATTAATTACTGGCGAATGCGCCGACGGCGAAGACATCTAGTTTCTACTAGCAAACGCCGAGAAATGAACATCGCCGTAATTATTGAAAATAGGTACTATTTTCAGTTATGTGTTTAGTTTTCATATAGAACCAGTTCCATCGGACAGATGGCGTGCGTGTACATATATGTATTGCACAAGTGGCATTCCATATGCTGCGAATCGGAGAAAAATCGATCGTAGAGTTGGAGAGCACACTGACAGTTTATCAGCTAGAAAATGACAGATGTATTTGTACACAAACGATCGAAAATCCATAAAAGATTGTCAAAACTGCTAAATTCTGATCGCATCACTGGTGCCGCCTGAGCCAGCTATGGAACTGAAATTGGTCACGATAACTCAATATACATTTTCTAACTTTAGCTGTAGATGCCACTGCGGTTTTTTGTATTGTTAAATATAACTTATGAAATAAACTCTTCNCCACTTGCTATAGAATATGGAGATGATGCTGCACCTGTTGAATAGACTGTTCGATTTGTAAATGAAAAATTACCGTAGCCAAGAAAAACACTGATATTATTGTTGTATGAATTAGCAACAATGATGTCCGTGTAATTATCATGGTTAAAATCATGAATGGTAAACGATGGTGATTTGGAACTGTAGTCAATCGAAAGAGTGGTTTGCTTTCCAAAAATAAGGTTTGAACAGCCAAACCAGACAGTAACGGTGTTATCACCTGCGTTCGCGACCACAATATCAAGTTTAGCGTCACTATTTAGATCACTACCAACGATAAACCGTGGACTAGAACCAGTTTGATATGTGATTTGAGGCGCGAATCGTCCATCGCCATATCCCAAGAGAACACTAAGACAATTGCTACCAACATTGGCAGCAACTATATCTGAGTATCCATCATTATTATAATCACCAATCACTACTGATTGCGGAAGACTACCTACTGAATATATGATTTCATTTTGGAAAGATCCATCGCCGTTTCCTAGTAGAATTGTCACTGTACGATAGCCTATAGTACCTGCAACAATGTCTAATCGGCCATCATCATCTAAATGCCCAACTGCTAATGTGATTGGACCGGTGTCCACCGAAAACGTAGTCTGTGGTGTAAATGATCCATTACCATAGTTCAGAAAAATTCCAATATTATCAAAATCATAGTTAGCAACAGCAAAATCCAGATAAGTATCGTTATTAAAATCAGCCGCAAAAATGTAGCGTGGAGGAGAATAATCTGAGTCGATAGTTTCAGATGCAAACGAGCCATTACCGTAGCCTCGTAACACAATTAATCCATCGGACGATCGCACAAGTATATCAAGGTTTCTATCGTTGTTAAAATCACCCACAGCCATAGATGCTGAAGTATAGTCAATTGTAATTGTCATAAGAACTCCAAAGGATCCATTGCCGAATCCTAGAAATAGAGCAAGATTTACAGTCTCATCACTGGTAACAACTAGATCGAGCCGATCGTCGTTATTGAAATCGCCGACAGCTGCAGAAGTTGGACTGCTTTCAACCGAATATGTTGATTCGTATTGAAAACTGCCGTTTCCAACTCCTAAGAAGACGCTTACACTGTCAGAATCATAGTTAACAACCATCATGTCAGCATAACTGTCGTTATTCATATCTGCGAGGACTATAAACCGTGGATTTATTCCAACTAAATATGTCTGCGGATCTGCAAATGATCCAGAATTCAACACAGTAAGCACATCGATCTCATCGCTATCACCGTATCCAACAACAATTTCTGTTCGTCCATCATTATTAAAATCTCCAGAGGAAATAACGAACGGAGGAGATTCAGAAGGAACCTGGTGGGATGCTTGACGGATGAAAGATCCTCGACCATCTCCAAGTAAGATTCCAACTTGACGAAAACCAGAAAGGGCTACTGCAATATCTAATTGAGAATCCTCATTGAAATGGCCAATAGCAACTGACGTAGGTTGAGAATTCGCTTCCATGCCAATCGTGAGTCGATTGAGGAAGGTCTCATTGTCAGTACCAAACAGAATTGAAATATCATCAGTACCATAATTCGCAACAACCATGTCTAGTCGACCATCGTTATTCAGGTCGCAAATGGCCATCGACTGTAATTTGGAACCACCACCAGAGGCATATATTAAGTCGGTTACCAGAGCACCTGTATCAGACTGGAGTAATATATTTACTTTGGTACCACTATTGGCTGTTAGAATTAAGTCCAGCCGTTTATCATTATTTAGATCTCCAACTGCTACAGAGAATGCGTTTACGTACGCACGATATGTCACTGCAGCTTCGAACAAACCATTACCGAGTCCACATAAAATGTACACACTTGTCACTCCAGAGCAACTGACAATAAGATCTAATCGTGTGTCATTATTTAAATCGACAATAACTATCCATGCTGGTGCGCTACCCACTCCATATGTAACTTGTGTTGCAAAGGTACCGTTACGATCTCCTAATATAACACTCACCGTACCGCTTATATAATTGGCAACAACAATATCCATTCGATTGTCATTATTCAAGTCAGCAACCGCTACAAAGTATGGGTGTGTACCAGTTCCATATGTTGTTGGATTTCCAAAACTTCCATTGTTATATCCCTTAAGAACAGTTATAGTTTTGTTACTATAGTTGACTACAACTAGATCGACTTGATTATCATTATCTAAGTCACTTATTGCTATGCAATATGGTCTATAACCACTTGAGTATCTTCGTTGAGTTGTAAAACTGCCATTACCGTATCCTAAGAAGACACCCACACTTCTGCTACCATAGTTAGCAACAACAATATCCAGACGGTGATCGTTATTAAAATCACCAACAGCTGCGAACACTGGCCGGGAGCCCGTTGAATAGTTCGATGGAGTTTCAAAAGTACCGTCACTGTTGCCAAGATATACACAAATATTTTGACTATCTCTATTAGCAACAACTACGTCTATATTTGTGTCGTTGTTAAAGTCACCCATCGCTAAGGAATATGGACTGTCGTTCGTTGCATAGAGATTCGGACTTTGGAATGTTCCATTACCGTATCCAAAAGACACCATCATCATATCATCTGTGTTACTAAGAAGTATCATATCTAATATTCCATCATGGTTAAAATCATTGACAGCTACAGTCGTCGGATGGTACCCAACATCGTGCTTTGCGTATGATGGAAAACCTGCAAAATGGCCTTTGAGAAGTTCAATACTTCCAGTGTCATTACTAACGATGATTGCATCCAACCGATTATCTTTATTATAATCACATAAGACAAATGAGATGGATGAAGTAGATCCAGTTGTATTCATTATAACATTGGAAAAACTGCCATCGCCCAAACCCAGAAGTAAAGCAGTGTTGTTCAGTCCGATATTAACAGTAAATATATCCAATCGATCATCTCCATTGAGATCTCCGACGCCGATCNTGGAACTGAAATTGGTCACGATAACTCAATATACATTTTCTAACTTTAGCTGTAGATGCCACTGCGGTTTTTTGTATTGTTAAATATAACTTATGAAATAAACTCTTCCTTAAATATTTCGAGTATAGGCACAGAGTGGTCTTTTAGTGTTTTATTCAACTAAGTCGATACCTTATAGAAAACAATGTCATCATAGGACAGTTTACCACCGATTATAACACAGGTGCCGAAAAATAATGATAAACCGTCTTGCACCGTCAAAATGTTAAGCCTGAGTAAAAGAAGTCAAAGAGAAGTATATTTGATCAATCTATCGTTATGCATACTCGAATAGGATCCGTGTCTTTCAATAAGGATATTCCTTTGTATCCATCGATTTGATCTAACACGATTGCCAGGTAGAGTCGCAAAGATTTCTTCACAGATCAGTGTATTTTTTCTTGCAATATCTCGAAAGTATTGATAAAACTTATTGCACACTGGATCATTGATATGAATCTCAAGTGAATTTTCGAATTGAATACCTAACATCATTCTGGGAGAAGTTTGTCAGTAAAACTCATTCATTAGTCAGTATTTTATTAACTTACAAAAAAGATTTTCTTTCGCCAGCTAGAATGAAAATCGTCCGACTTGAACAGATTGACCATTGAATCAAGCTTGTTTTGTTTCAACATCAGTTATTATTACACATATTTCATTATTCCAATCTCTAAGTAACGATCGATCATTGATATTGACGCTGCCACAGATTG